CCAAAACCCCCCCTCAACCCTACTAGTATACCCTAAACCCTGCCACCCTGCAACCCAGCAACCCTAAACCCTAAAACAAAAACCCAATTCAAGAAACCCCAACCCTAAACCCCATTCACGAAACCTTGTCTGGTCCCACAATGATAAGCACGTCATCGCGAACCAAGGGCGGTTCGAGCTCAGGAGGCTCCTGGGGAGAGTCGGCTTCCTTTAGGGTTTAGGGTTTAGGGTTTAGGGTTTAGGGTTTAGGGTTTAGGGTTTAGGGTTTAGGGTTTAGGGTTTAGGGTTTAGGGTTTAGGGTTTAGGGTTTAGGGTTTAGGGCCTTCATGGGCCTTCGTTTTAACTACCTGAGAAGGCAGTAGATTGCTTGAACAGTCTAGGCTGCATAGCTGCTTTCATGCTTGGCGACGCCGCCCTTTCGCTTGCCCTTACACATCCCAGTCAGCAAACCCCAAACCCTTATAATCCCTTCCCCCTTTAGTAAATGCAACCCTAATAATAAAAACACTTTCCGGAAAATCTTGCCGAAACCAACCCCGCCTTTGAAACCCTATTCCGAATTAGGGGGGGGGGGTTCAGGCCTCCAAGAAATCCTTCAACACCAATAAAACCCTCAGAGGGTTTAGGGTTGGGGGTCTATGGTTAAGGGGTTAGGGCTTAAGGTTAAGGGTTTAGGGTTTAATTAGAGGCCCGTCTTTTGGCAGCACGAAGCTTTCTTAAGTTGATTACTTGAGTAACCCTGAAGTCTAATGAATTATGACATTTCGCTAAGAATACCCCCTAATTATAAAAACAGGTTTCGAATTTTTAAAGGGGGGGGGAGCCCCCCCCGTTTAATATTAGGGGGAAGGGATTAATGGATGTAGAGATATATGTATACACAGTATACATAAACCCCAACTCCTGATAAACTTATATCTATATCTATATTTATATATATATACACACATAAACCCCAACGGTACATCCAGACGGGTGTCGAACTCGATCTTGTCCAAGCTGACTTTCGTGGACGGCGTGGTCCTTTCATAGCCCTCGTACAGGTCACCGGCCTGCAATGGCAAATTGTGGGCTCACGGCAGTTTAGGGTACGGGATTTAGGGGTTAGGGTTTAGGGTTTAGGATTTAGGGCAATTTAGGGTAGGGGATTTGGAGTCAAGGGATTGAATTGAACTGCCGAGCAGTTTCTAAGGCACTTGTTCAACAGATGCATCACTCTTGTGGCAATGTCGAGTGCTCGGCCTTGAGGAACCTGTCATAGGCCAAGCTCAACAAGGCGCTCGCTTCCTCTGCCCCTCAGCTACCCCAAACGTTCAACTCTGTGCGGGCGGGCGGCATCGCCCGGCCAAGTCATGCCAAATTCGAGTGACTGGATCGAAAGGTCAGTACTTGATTTGAGAGAGTCACTCTAAATTATGGTGCCATTATACCCCATAATCGCAACCCTTACAACAAGCAGCGGGACCATCATCATGGACACTCCGACCCGCCATTTATGTAAGCCCAGTTGCTGGAGACGTTCTTTTCGGCCACAGCCTCCTCGAGCTCACGCACATGCCGGTAGAAGGCACCGACTTCGTAGCGGAGCGAAAAACGTAGCGAAGTATCCACTGGTGAGTCGCTGGGGAAGGCGGAGTCTGTGTATCTTGTGAAAACCTCAGCTTAGGTTTGAAGGGCGCGCTTAGGGGGCTTAGGCTTTGCAGAAGTTTGAATATCTGGGGCCAAGCCAGAAATTCAAGTCAGCCCATCACATCAGTCAAGCCGCTGGTAAGTAGGCTTGAAATAGGTTCGGATAAATTGCCAGGTTCTGCCAATCCTCATCGTAAACGTCTTGCTGCAGGTCTGCCAAGTCGGCAGCAACCCCACGCAGGCGTTTCAGAACCTGAGAAGCCCAGTGCGACTGAACAGCAGTCCTAGTCCGTCGTTTTCAAAAAACTATCCTTGCCCTTCGATAGGCCTCAAACAAGCTGAAACGCTGGCACTCGTCGTAGCATAAGTAGCAGGAGCGACAACAGCAGTAGGAATAGAAGAAGTAGCTGGCGGAACCGCTACCGTTACCGCTACCGCTACAGTTACTATTACGGTAACTATTACTGTTACTGTTACTGTTGCTGCTACTGTTACTGTTACTGTTGCTGTTACTGCTACTGCTACTGTTACCCTTACTGTTACTGTTAGTGGTAGTGGTAGTGTTAGTGTTCGTGTTCGTGCTGTTCGGACCGTAGTCTGTAACGGTAAGGTGAAACAGGCTTGCCAGGCCTGCACGAAAATAATGGCTACAAGGAGCGCAGGTAAGGTCGAGCAAGTCAGTGCCTGCACACAAAAATGGGCGCCCTCAGGGCACTGCAGCCCAACAAGCTAATTTCCACTCCCTTTTCCAGGCTTGATAGCCTCACTTGGTAAAGGGGTCGTCGAAGGCTTCGAACGCCACAGGCGGCCCTGCCACAGTAGATGTTCGACTGATGTTGAGTCCGGGCCGACTTCTGCGCCACCCACATCTTCTTGGCCCCATGAAGATCGTGCTGATGGCGGTGGTGCTGATGGCGGTGGTGCTGAGCGGTCTGCAAGTTCGTCGATTGCAACATTCAAGGCCCAGAGTTCCCGGACAGCTCCGGTTGGGCTGCCTGCGGCGTGGAGCAACAACTTCATCGGGTACTGCAATGAGACGCCTCCTCATCTTGCTTCCTTCGACCGGTCCCCTCAATCCCAGGCACCATCTCGACGTCAGCTGACGTGTCACATGCACCAGGAGCAGAAACCGCAGCCTTAGCTTCCCTCCTTTGCTGCCTCTTCCTCTGCCTGCGCTCAGCACGGCGCTGACGCAGACGACGGACCAAGGCATCATCATCCAGAGCGCCAGTGTCACCACCAGCACTCGGGGAGCAAGCAGCATTCCCTGGGACCATCACTGACGCAGCAGCCGGAGCATCAGCCGGCCGCAGCGCGGCCGACACAGCAGCAGCGGCAACCGCCGCGATGGTGCGACGCGGGGCCTTTGCATCGCACGCGGAACGCACAGCCGCAGCCACAAGGGCTGAGCCATGGCGCACCGACATTTCTCTCCTATGTTCGAAACCTAAGGGGAACGCCTCGAACAGCAGTCGCTTGAGCCTTAGTGTTAGTGTTCGTGCTCGTGCTAGTGCTAGTGCTAGCGCTAGTGTGAGTGTTAGTCTTAGTATTCGTGTTCGTGTTAGGGTTCGTGTTAGTGTTAGTAGTGTTCGTGTTAGTTATAGTGATAGTAGTGCTAGCGTTAGTGTCAGTAGTGCTAGTGTTCGTGTCAGTAGTGCTAGTGTTCGTGTCAGTAGTGTTAGTATTTAGTGTCAGTAGTGTTAGTGTAATCGCTGGTAGCGTTAGTGTTAGTGTTAGTGATAGGGTTAGGGTTCGTGTTAGTGTTAGGGTTAGTGTTGATAGCGTTAGTAGTGTTAGAAGTGTTGCAGCACAGCCGATTCTCCCTGAGTCGAGATTGCAGAACACCGCCTGAACCGCCCGAAGGACAACCATCACACTAAACCCTAAACCCTAAACTCTAAACCCTAAACCCTAAACCCTAAACCCTAAGCCCTAAACATCGCTTCCGAGCTGCGGCTTTGGGGACACGCCGCCACGCAGCCTGCGATTTAGGAGGGTCGAGAGGGCTGGGAGTTTTTGGGGACTATGGTTCAGACTGCCGATGCTTCGCCATGGGGGTCTGGATATATACTTATACATGTATATCTACTTCTGTAGTGAAACATATATACAAAAATGCATGCATAAACCATATGTAATTAGACTTCCTGCATCAAGCCCCGACCAGGGTGAGGGATGTGTACGATTGAGCCTGCTTTAGCTTCCCACGATCGTTGACCCTTGCCCCCGGATTCCTGAACAAGGGTGTTTGGGTAGCTTAGCGTGGGGGTTGGAGTGCAAGAGCGAGCTCTTGTGGATCCTGAGCTATCAAGTCATTCAGAAACAACAAGACTTCACTTAAAACACGAGGGGGGCCACACTCTAGGCGCACTTAGGCACTGACAAGCCCTGATGACTTCCAAACGCCGGCGTGTTCGCACTTTGGGCCTTCTCATCCGCTCGGAGGGCAGCGCGCCACTCCGGTTTCAGAAGCCCTCCTGGGGTCGCGGATGCGGGACTCTAAGCCTTGCCTAAGCCACCTAAGCATGTTGGGCACCCAAAGCTCAACTAATCATGTCACCACGTTCAGCAGCATTTCGAGAAGTTCTTGGGCATCCGTGGATGCAACTGATGAGAACTGATGCCAAGCGTCGCCAGTCTGGAAATTGCGAGCCAGTCGCCTTGGAGGCAGACATCTGGACTGACCTCGAAGCTCTCCGTCTGAACAAAAAGAAGATCCCAGTGCAAGCGGCACTGCAAACAGCACATTCGAGTTACAACAGTACAGAACTGAGTCTGGGATGGGCTGAGCGGCTGTGCTGCCATTGCCTCGCCGGCATCGGCGTTTGCAGAGCCAGCCACCAGGCAGCCGGCAGCAAGCACTGCGGCAGCCAAATAGTACGGCCTTCAGAGCAAACTGCACATCCATCAGAACATCAACTGGATAAGTTTATGCGCGCATGCCTTGCCCAAGCAGCATCTGCACCTGCCCGCTGCTGCAGCTTCGTACAGACTTCCAGTTCAGGTCTTCTCAACGAAGGAATGTGCTCGTCAGCTCGGTCTGCTTGGTCGGCATTCACGGCGCAACGTCCGGACCCAAGACTCACGAAAGCTTCGGACCAGCGTAGAATGCATAGGGCGCATAGGCTGCAGAGCAAAGCAGGTCCACATCCTCGCCGAGTTCGGGTCATTGCACGGACCCTCAAATCGCCGCTGGGTTAAATGGCTGTGCGACAGCACCATAGTCGGGCCAATAGAAAAAACTCACGAAGCATGCTTCGACTCTGGCACCATGAAGGCACGAGCAAACTTACTCGGCATTTGGGAGTGGTTGAAGCCTACAACCAGGCATGAAGATGGGCAAAGTACAGTGGGAAGAAGCGAAGCGGGGCCTTTGTGCACCGTGACAGCCTCGGCAATCTGAGCCTCGGTGACTTCTGACCTTGGACATGACAAGCGCCCTGTGATTCTGGTGCCTTGTCAATCATGTCACTGTGGCGGCAGCGACTGCTTTTGGGTTTTGGCTGGTGAGGCACTACGGTCTGTTTCTGGAAGGCATTGGGAAGATGTCAGGCGGGGGCTTAGCCCGTCTAGCCTGATCTGCGTGCAACGGATGTGAGGGTTTCCTCACGGCACTGCCTCAACTCAGGCCCATAAGTGGAGGCAGTGTCCACCACAGGCCCTTCAGAGGCCTTCGGTATGCCGTACCCCTCTCAGCGAAGACGATCGCGCCGCCTGAGCCAGAGTATTACACTACAGCGGAATGACACCTCTTCGCCTAGTCGCGTCAAGGAACCTACAGTACATGCCAGGGGTTGATTCTAGCAATGTGTACTCTGCCGCGCTTGCCCGAGCAAACAATGAGAGTTGGCCTCTGCCACCCGTCAGTGATACGCCTTGGACGCAACCCAACCAGAGCTGCCCTACGTTCAGGCAACAGACGTGAACATGGACGGTGATACGAGTCTGCGCAATCTCACTGCCGTGCAAGGAGTGCTGCCCCGGGCACTGCTCGACGGTGCACACATCGCCTCGTCCGGGAACCCTCTTCGATGCTTGTTCCTGGCCGGTGGCATGCTCACAGCGCCTTACCATTGTGATAAAGCTCATTAGCCGAATTTTATTGTCCGCCCCGCCCCCCCGCCCCCCCCCCAAGGCCCCATCCCTGGAGTGCCACCTCAGGACCCCAAATTTTGCAGCCTTATGCGCCCACAGAAGTAGAAACCTTGTGCTTGAACTGGAACCGCTGTCATCTCCCGTCCTTCTGTCCAGCTGCCTCCATTGCCTCACAAGGCAGTAGTCGAGAGCTTGCATTAGCACCATAGCCCCGGCGCATCCCTGGATCACTGCAGTCACTGCAGTCACTTGTCATATCCAACATGGACCGGCTATGACCTGCTCAAGTTGTCAGAAGGACTCGGCCTGTTGGTGGCCGCCTTGGCCGCCAGTGTGATCCTGAAAGCCACAGCGTCTGCACAGGAATGATCAGTTTTCAAAGTTATGGCCCCCCCTTCTGGGAATCCTTTATTTTAGAGGTCGCTTCATCATAGTGAGGACCATAATTCAGAGAAGTGACCATGTAATGTTCAGACCGTCCAGTCAATCCAGCCAAGGCGCAATGTAGAGGGCACCGGATACGCCGGGTCCATAGTTCAGCTCCGGATGCTGCAACTTGGCGTTTGGGCACGTGTGATTCTAGGCAGTGCCTTGACTACCACAAGTAGTAGACCATCCAATGTGCCAAACGAAATCCACCTTCACGTCTGAACTCCCAAGCTGAGCTTGCGACAACTGTACCCTTACCACCGCCCGGCGTGCCTTCGGCGAAGGGATGGGCGAAGGGATGGGTGAAACTCGATGGAGGTTTCAATAATTCAGCTGGGCAACTCTTGAATGCATGGCAAAATGACTGCTGCTCTCCCGCCGAGGCTTGGACTACCCAACCGCCAAGGCGTCATTCCAGACACGCCTCCACTCTGATTCTGAGTGAGAGGAGGCTGAGGGAGAGAGAGAGAGAGAGAGAGAGAGAGACAGAGAGAGAGAGAGAGAGACACAGAGAGAGAAAGAGAAAGAAAAACCGAGAAAGAGAGAGAGAGAGAGGGAGACGCACACGGAGACCTAGACCGAGACGGAGAGGGAGACTGAGAGAGCGAGAGAGAGCGATAGACTACTGACAACTATCAGTTGGTCGAGCAAGGAAAGCAAAACGTGCTACACTGCAGAACGAGCCGATGACTGCCGCTGTGCCTGGTCCATAATTCCTGCATGACAATGTAACGTGATTGACAGCTCATCTTGTCCAGGTTGGTACGCGCAATCCGAGGGCGGGGCAGTTCCGGGTGAGTCACCATTGTGCAATTCCCACCCCTGGCAAGTGCAAACCCAACATGTGGAGCGAGCAATGTAGAACGAAAGCACAACAAGAGCACCCTGGCGAATGACCGAGAACGAGGAGATGAGTAAGACAAGTATATGCAGGCAGACTCACAACCAGCACGTGAGGCCGAGTTAGGGATCTGAACGCGCGCTCTCCCCCCAATGTCTGAGCCGCAAGCCGGAAATGTGACATGTCTCCCATGGCTGGCACTTGTGAACGCTCACAAGGCTCACCTAAGATGCCCCATCAACACATCAGCTTGACTCGCTTGAATACAGGTCATTCCATCGGCACCCGGCAACAAAACACAACTCTCTCGTCCAAGTAGCAGATCCTGGGCCCCTCTGCGATGGGGCCAATCCGGCAAAGCTTTGAGCCGAAACGTCGCAAAAGCTGCGGCAGGAAAGGCAGACGTGAAAGCAAAGGATGTCCAACGAGCGTATGCTGCTCTCCTACTTTCATGCGTAAAGGAACTCGGGCTCTTGAAGTGACCGAATGTACCGCACCTGCTGGGGCACAGGCATCCCTTCTGTCAGGAGCATGATGCAGCATGTGCTGTTGTCCTCCACATGGATGACCTCCAGGCATCTCCAAGAATCGACTTCAGACTTGGACTTGGAAATCGCATCCTCAGGCCATGGCCTCGCTAACGATCTCAAGGCCCACCAACTTTCGCGGCCTGGGTGGCTCAAGGTGGTTCACTCATTGGTTCACTCCGGGCAAAGCGGAATTCGTTGTCAGAGAATGCCGAGGTGATGTCCTCTTGAGGTCTCGAAGGCCCATGGCGCGAGCCTGTGAGCGAAGATGCGAGGAGGGACACGAAGCACTCCATAGCGCCACTGTACGCAGCCATTCGCCGAAGCATTCGGTGAGCTGAGTTCGAGGCAGTGCTAACCGCTCTACTTTCGGGTGGAGGCGACCACAGCCTTGCATGGCTAAGACACGAGCCCCTCCTACATCCTACTGCACTTCCACTTCACTCCTGCAATTGCTGCAACCTAGATAGTAGTAAACTTGTGGTGGACCAAGTGCCCGGACTGGACCACGGGTCTGGCTGCAGCATCCACCACCTTTATTTGATGAGACTGGCGAGAGAAAAGGGGGGAATTGCGAAGACAAGTTCGTGCGCCTCCCCCATGATGCCCCACGCTCTGTCTGCACCCTCTGGCGAAGCGGACGCCAGATTGGTCAGAACTGCCTCGGTGCACAGAGCAGACTTCAGGTGTGGGGGCGGGCGGGGGGGCTGGGGTCTCATAATCAGTCCTAAGGCCTAAGGGCTGGGATCATCCTGTCCTAAACTAAAGGCTCTAAGGGCGTCTAAGGCTAAGTGACGGCCGTAAGAGCAAATCAGATTTGACAGGGGGGTCCAGATCCCTGTGCGCCATGTTTTACAGCAGTGTCAAACAGGTCGCTGTCTCCAGCTAAACGGGCCCACAGCTCCTAGAGTCTGAGGCCAGCTGCGCGATAGCGTGTCTCTACTTGTGCGTGGGCCATGGCCTCAGGTGCTCAAACGCTGCCCAAGCAGCCATCAAGAAAGCCCTGCCGGAAAAGATCATGGGCTACGTCGAGGGAGTGCCGGGCTTGAGACCTCTCCGCACCCTGGCTCAACCTTAATCTCAAAGACTTGAGAGCAGATCCCCCCTTTTCCAGCATGCTCCAACCCCCAATGGCGTCTTTGGGCTGGAGCCCCAAGGATGGTGGACGCCCTCTTCTGCGACCTTGGCATCATTTGGCATCTGCAACAAAAGCTCCGTGAACTTCAGGCCGGGCCATGCCCTCGGTGTCCGGCACAATGCCACCCTCATCATCCATAACCTGCGAAGAGGAGTGTTTCAAGCACTTAACGTGAAACACTCCAGGCATCTCAGCAGCCCTGGTCCATCAGTGCAGTCGGGGGCGTGGCATAGCAAAGCTCCGCAAGCTGATGTGTTCCGAAGGAGTCCAGACCTGAGAACACCGAGGATCACAAGAACCAAGCAAGTGGTGTCTCGCGCGCAGTCCTACGGCATGGTAAGGCACAACATCCCAAGGACGCTTGAGGGGCGGAGGGGAAGAGGGTGGGGTGGGGTAGGGCAGGGGTCGAGAGTTTCATGTTTAATCCTGATGCTGGTTCTGATTCAGGGCTCCCCCCCTTACCTCCCCGCGGCCACTGCTCTGGGGCCGCCACTAAGCATTGCTTCGACTGCCTTACCTGCGGCCTGGCATATCGAGACACTCTGCAGAAGCTCGCGTGTTGGCAGCTCTGTGCCCTAACCTACTAGCAGAGTGACCTCCAGAAGTAACCCAGCATTGAAGACCCCGTGGCCTTTACTCTGCCCAGGGCAGCCGTGCAGAGAGGATCTCCATCCGGCGCACCGACCTCGATGGGCGGAAATGTGGAGCTTGATGCCCCAAACCCTCAAATCCTGAACCCTTACTGCAAAGCCAAGCTATCAAGCTATCTGGGGGTTTACGAAAATACGGGAGCCCGAATAGAATCCCCCCACAAGTAGGATTCCCTTATGAATAAGGACCCCGCTAGAGTACCTCTAGTTTTGGAAACCCTAAACCCCCCATTTTACAGAGCTGTCAATGCCAGGGCCACCAGCTGAGCCTTCGACCACTTTCTCAAACTCCTCTACGGCCTCAGGCTGGTTTTAGGGGGGCTTTGGGCTTAGGGTTTAGGGTTTAGGGATTAAGGCTTAGGGTAACTTCAAAAAAGTGGGATAGCCGCCGTCCAAGCATCAGGAGCCACTCAACCCGAAACCCTAACCCTCAACAATCCCAAATCAGAAGCCCCTAACCCCTATATAACCTGAAACCTTGCACTTCAAACCCAACTAACCCAAGACCATGAACCCCGAAACCCTACGGCCTAAACCCTAAACCCTAAACCCTAAACCCAAAACCCAAATAACCCAGGTTGTGATAACCCAAATAACCCAAGTAACCCGAAAATGACCCTTAAATAAGCCCAAAGAACCCAAAAAACAATCCTAAAGTAAGACAGAAGAACCCCAGAAACAACCCCAACAATAAGCCAAAAGAGCCACAAACCCTAAACCCTAAACCCTAAACCCTAAACCCTAAACCCTAAACCCTAAACACCGACTCCCAGCCTTCTGCACCATGGCAGGGGTCGCAGTCATGGCCTCACGAATTAGGGCATCGGGGCATAGGGGGGGTTTAGGGTTTAGGGTTTAGGGTTTAGGGTTTAGGGTTTAGGGTTTAGGGTTTAGGGTTTAGGGTTTAGGGTTTAGGGTTTAGGGTTTAGGGTTTAGGGTTTAGGGTTTAGGGTTTAGGGCTTAAATGAAGCTTGTGGGGTTCGGGGCTTAGGGTTTAGAAGCACAAGAAGCCCCGCAAGAACCCTACAAGACTTCTACAAGAATCCGAAACAAGCCCTAAGCCCTTCTTATCCCAGTATGAACCCCAACCCTAAACCCGGAATATTTACGAACATAAATATTGAGGAAGTGTCCCCAACGAAGGGATATTGAAGTCCTGCCCCTAACCCCAAAGCCCAAACCCCAAACTCTAAACCCTAAACCCTAAACCCTAAACCCTAAACCCTAAACCCTCCACCAAAAGAACAACAGAAAAACGCTAGGCCTCCGCGGCCGTCATGCCCAGGGCTGCAAAATGGTGAGCCTGGTTGGGATTTGGGATTTGGGGGTTTAGGGTTTAGGGTTTAGGGTTTAGGGTTTTAGGTTTAGGGTTTAGGGTTTAGGGTTTAGGTAGGGTTTAGGGTTTAGGGTTTAGGGTTAGGAGGTGGTTTAGGGGTTTAATTTTCAGGGGTTCAGGGGTTCAGGGGTTCAGGGTGTAGGGGGGCTTTGGGGCTCAGAGCTTGAAGGGTTTGGGGTTTTCAGATGTTTTCAGAAGTATGCCGTCCACGAACCATATCTGAGGTTCAGGTTGCAAGGTCTGCGGGGTGCTGGGGCTTGCAAGCCGGCTGACACTGCGTTCATGGAGCCTTTGCACTCACAGCTGAGCTTGTCGCAGCTCGCGCTGCTCGCCGTATGGCCCGCTCACGCTCGCTGGGAAACTTTGCCAGCTCTTCAGCTGTTGCCTCATGGCTGAATGCGAGGCTTTTTTGGGGGCTTGGCTTCAATTGACTACTGCTAGCAGCTGCTAGTAGACCATGGAATGAGATGTCAAAAGCGGTCTGCAAGAACAACTGATTTTTTTTTCTGCTCCAGGCGCGTGGTGGTCCTAACTGAGAACAACCCCCCATGTCCGGAAGGAGGGCCCCCATCGTCACCCCGCCCTGGCTCAGTACCCCTTCGACATGTCAACGACACCCTGGAAGCCGGTAAAGCCTTCTGCCATGAACTCCTTGGTAGCCCAGGAACCATATTAAAACGAGGGCACCCTTGTTTGGGTTGGCCACTTCATTTGGGAACCTTGAACCAAAAAAAGGCCAAAGGGTACCACTGGGCTACCAAGACTCATCTAGCCGACCCAGAAACAGTTGCCAGTTCTCTTCGACGTACCTGAAGTGGCGGTTTGCTAAGCAGAGCGACTCGGAGGATAGGGGCGCAGTAAGCAGTTATCATAAGGGTTGCTACGTGACCTTGATTAGGACCCCTTTTCTTATAACTCGACTTGGTGGTGAAAAAAACTTTCTGCAAAGGATGGTCCCATAGTCTTCCGAGGCTCATCTGATTTGCCATATATGCATTGTGCGGACTTATTAGCCTGAGATGGGAAAGCATGAGCACTTCGACAACCAGACACACAACACCTGCGGCAAACACGACAGCCTGCATTAAGAATCAACCTTAAACCCTAAACCCTAAACCCTGAACCCTAAACCCTAAACCCAATGCTTGCGGCAGGGGAACAAGTTCTCACAGCTCCACAACGGGGAATCTGGTGGCAAAGGCTCCTCCTCAAAAACATCCAGCGCTGCGCCGGCAATCTTGCCCTTCAAGAGCCTGGGTTTAGGATTTAGGGTTTAGGGTTTACGGTATATCAGAAGGTTTTGGAGTACTTTGACGGGTGAAGTGTGGGGGGTTTTGGGGTTTAAGGTTTAGGATTTAGGGTTTAGGGTTTAGGGTTTAGGGTTGGGCTATGGAGGGGCTGAGGGGATTGAGGTCAGAAAGCATCTGAAGACCCTGAGGAGTTTAGGTCGCCCACGCTTCCTCCAGCGCTGCCTCATCAACGCAGGAACCTGTGCGGGTCGAGGGGTTTCTGGCAGCTGTGGGACAAATGGCGGTCGTGTTGCGGTCGACTAGGGCACACCCTGCCGGCGCAAGAACTACAGACGCACTCCCAGCCTCCCCCCAAACCTTTCGACTTCCTCCGCACCTCACCTCAAAACCCCCCCCCCCCCAAAGCCTCGAAAACCCTGCGCTCTTCAGCCCGCTTGGGGTCCACACGGCCATACGGGCGGAGGGGTTTGCTTCAGAACTCTTCACTCGAAAGCCCGAGCCTCGACCCAGCGAGATGAAGACGGAGGTAGGCTTCATGGCCTCAACGACGGCTTGGGGGTCCAAAAGCCGAGCAAGGCGGGAGCCCCGCTAGGCACATTAGGAGGGCGGCCAAAGCCTTGATCACCGAATTCAGGGTCTCAAAATGCTTTGGGGCGGCGCCTCCCCCGAAAGCGGCACTCGCAAGCAACAGACACCCCTTACTTGCTCTCGGTGTGTTCAGGCGCACCGGCACACTTCACACTGCTTACACACAACGACCCCTGAGGGTTAGAACCCACAGCTCCAGTGTGGCCTTGTGCTGCAAGACAGTCTCGCATGCGTGCCGAGAGTAAGGCCCAGACGTTGAACTGGTCTTCCTGAGCAAGATGCGCGCGACAGCGAGCTCTCACACATGACCACATTTGGACTCTGTACTCTAGACCAGAAACTACTAGAAAAAAGGCAGATCTGCTGCAAACGAAGGGGCTGCACAGGTGTGGTAGGTTGATGCACCGCCAGGAAGACTACAAATGAGGAAGTCTGAGTTTTTGAAGATGTCCTGCAAAAACATTGAGGCATTCAGCTTCTGGCATGCTGCATTGTGAGTGATATTCCGTGTTCATGCCCAATTTGTGCAACGCAGCCACGAGCATGCTCCTGCTTTGCACCAGGTCCATCGCTGGAATAGAAGACTTCGTCGGCCAACTCCTCACCGGACGCTCCTCGCGTGTTTCGCCAGGCAAGGATTCGCATGCCAAAGGCCTTGCAGAGCCGCGCCGTGCATTGTGCGATATCGCCGAAGCCAAGAAAGCCCACTGTTTGTCCATGTAGCTCATTCATGATGAACTTGTCCCAGGTTTTTGTGGAGCGATTTCCCTGCAACCTCGGGATCTGCTTGTTGAAGTGCAGCATCGCCGCCAGGGAGTACTCGGCCAGGGATCTCGAGAAAGCCCCCTTGGCGTTGGTCAGAGGGATGTCCGGACCACCAGGTAGGGAGTTGAGCACCGGAACCAATCCCTCAACACCCGCGGCGAGGCTGTGGATCCATCTTAACCGGGAAAAATGAGGCCAGAGATCAGCAACTGTAGCAGCGTCACCAGCAAAAACGATTATCTCCACTTCCTGTAGGGCCTTGTGCTCATCTTGGAAATCTGCGAGCGAGTTGCCGACGATGCAGGTGATCGTCGGTGTCCTGTTCAATGCAGAAGAGCAGGCATTGAGAGAAATGCACCAGAAATAGGAGTTGACAAAGAGTTGACATCGCTCAGCGTAGATTGACGCGCAGGAACTCACAACTACGTGATTCCTACGTCGTGAACAGGAAGCTAACTCAGAGCTGCATGCTGTTGCTCTCTTGGGTGCACAGGGATCCTCTCGATTAGCCAACAAGAAGGGAAGCAACAGCAAACCCAGCAACGTCTAAGGCTGGGCCTCCATGCACTCATAAACCCTGCGAGCAGTTGTGAGGTCTATTTGGTATTTGGGCTTTGCTTTCACCTTGAACTGTTGACCGAGCCCAAACCAAGGCCAAGTGCTGGGTTAACTTCGGAAAGACCACGTTGCATGAGGTCACTTGCGCCATCCCCTTTCAGCGCCCCTGACAGCCAAGGGTACACCCCATCTTAACGAATGCAAGAAGAGCTGCCTTGAATGGCTCGACTTTCGCTAGCTTTTAATAAGGATTGGTTTGGCGCTGAAAGACTACACAGACACACACACACACACACACAAAAAAAAAAAATATAATAATAATAATAAAACATCACTATGTTAAAACGCAAGCCCTTAAAATATGTGTTATCAAAAGCCTAGCCTAGACTCGGGCGCATTCCGAAATTGTGGCCGCAGCCGCAGCCACAAGTGGCACTTGTAGCAGATTCTGGTGAGGTTTTAACTTTGCACAACATAGAGCCCATGTTGTGTCAACTTCGCGTGTGATCCCTAAGATATGCAGAAAATCCCTGACATCAAGAGCCTGTCACACCTTGCTTATGCGTTGAGCCGTTGATCCCATTTTGCCGAGTGTCTTCTCGAGTCGCGGAAGACGCTCAACAAGAGCAGCACCAAAAGGGGACAGCTTGTCTACGATCACCGCAACGACGGGCATGGAGGCTAGGCTCGAAAGACTTGAGCCACTGGTGCACGTATACTAAAGGGTATAATAGGGCTTAGGCTTGTGGGCTTTGGAGCGGCTTGTGGGTTTAGGACGGGCAGCATGACCCTACGTTCACGGGAGAAGGTAAGTCCTCCCTCTGAGAGGCAGGCACTGAAAGCAGAGAGGCTATCCCCTGACTTTCCCTCGAAGTCCAGCGGCGCGTACTCCTGGCGGTTTTTCTCTGTCTCCATGCTCGTTTCCCACGATCTTCGTGCGGAAACAGCGCACGAGTTTTGCGCATCTTTGCAGGGTTTGCTTAGGCAAAAGGCCTTGAGCCGCCGATGCCGCTCCAACTTCTGTACATCGGCCAGGGCTCTGCCAGAGCGGCCGCCTGAAGGGAGGGAGGTTGGGGGTTTTTTAGATTTGGAGCCTCTTTCGGGTTTTTGGGGGTGGTTTAGGGGCTGGCGGAAGGATGCTCCTAAGCCCGGCGCCACCAACAAGCAAGCGAGCATTCCACACTTCCTGCTGCCTCGGATCGATGGACTTTACCACGAAAGCCAAGCGTCATTGAAAAGAATACGACTTGCCCTTGCGGAGTTGCTACTGGTAGCTTTCCTCGGTCTGAGTGCACGGACGGCGGCTGTGAATCGGCTCCCTTTGGCGGCGTGCACCTCGAACAAGAGTGTGCTTGAGGCAAGACTTATTCTACTGCCATGCAAGCATCTGCGGCTTCTGATAGGCGTATCAGGGCGTCGCATTACTGCACGGCAGCTTCCAACATTGACGACCTGCCAAGCAAAGACAAGTTTCTAAAGATCCGATTTTTGTGACTTTTGCTAACACAGCAGGCGCACCAGTACTCGCTGGCCCAGGATTAAGAGCAACGCCTCAAAGCGAGAAGGTTGAGATCTTGCACATGTTTCATGGCATACTCGGACAAGAAGCTTGATATGCTGCATTTTGGGATTTCCCCCCTTATGCTAACAGTCCTTAAAAGGGACGATAATCGGGCATACGAGTATGCCTACTAAGGCCTGTTAGTATAAGGGGGGACATCCCAAGCCCACCGGTCTGCTGCAGGGAGGTTTCTGTGTTTTTTTTCTTCGGTGAAGCTGAGGCCAATGCCAGGCCACAGCCTGAACAGGCAGCTTCCAGGCCCAGTTTCTCAGGGGAACCCACAAACCCTAAACCCTAGACCCTAAACCCTAAACCCTAAACCAGCCAAGCAAGGCTGCATCTGCGGCCTGCGTACCGCGCGTTGCTCTCTAAGAGGACCTTGTCCAAGTCTTCAATGGCCTTGGAGAAGAAGCTCTTGCAAGCTTGGGCCACGGAGAACCTAAACCGAAGCTAGTAGCTCGCCTGGTGGACCATGTCAATCAACTCAAAGTCTTCCGGCCTAAGGCGAACTTAGCTGAGCGCACGGAATTTAAGGCCCCTGGGTCAAAGCTTAAGGCTTCGTCGCAGGCTCAAGAGTCCCACTCAGGATTTAGCTAAGGGCATAGGGATTAGTGAAATATACTCAATGCGCCTGAATGGAGTGTCAATTCAGGCAGACCTCGAAAGCACCAAGGCAATGCCAAGCGGCTCGTCCTGTCGGGCGCTAAACCTTGATGTCGCACAGACGGCACCAGCAACACGACGCAAATGTAAGGAATGGAGTTTATTGTCATGTGTGCACTTGCTTGCAGGGGGCCTGACAACCGCAGTAGCACAATACAAGCCTATGCCACGAACGAAATCCAGGTCTTCGGCCGAGGTAAAAAGAAGGTGTGGAACCGTTGCGCGCAGAACAATGCCGCAGCCTCGTTCCGCACCAGCCACAGCATCCGAAATGAGCTGGTTATCAAGCTCCACCCGAAAGCACCCAGGCCCGGACGCTAGAATCTCGCAAGCCATCAACCAGTAGGAACATGGCTGCCGGCCGATCCTCCATTCATCACATCGCTCATGTTGAAAAGATCGAGTCAAACCGAGCCGGGCTCACCATGAAAAGAAGAGGCTGCTTGAGAAGATGGCAAGTCCGATGCAGCTCTGGCCTTCGCGACGGAATGAGGCAAGCAAAGGTGCAAAAGCATTTTAACGGATTAGCCGCCTACGAACTGATTGTCAGAAAGTTCTCTCAACACACACAGTCGCCCAGTGGTAGGCACGGGACAGCATCACTGCCATGGTGTCTTTTCGACCACCTGCAGCCGGCAAGCACGCGGAACCTCGGCCGCAAAAGCCCCTTGCCGTTCGGTTTCTTTGGTTTAGGGTTTGTAGGGCTGGTAGTGCTGATGGGGCTTGTATGGATTCTCGGCGGTTTAGCGGGCGTATACTGTAGGGATTACAGGGCTTACAGGTTTTACAGGGCTTTTGGCGTTTGTAAGCTTTGTACAGTTCATAGGGTTTTTAGAGTCTAGGGACGTGCCAGTGCGTCAACCGTGTCCATTCATAGCAACTGCAAAAGTCGGAGGCTCAGGCCGTTCGAAATGTGGACTGGCTGAGTCTCTGGATGATGCCTTAGAGCGGAGCTACGTGTCAAATTCCCAATCCCAATTCAAGCAACGCTCTGCCATGCTCTGCTTCTGCGTTTCAAATTATGTTTTGAGCAGCTCACGGCGTTCCCGTCTGGACCCACCTCAGACGACATGATCCAAAGTTGATCCGAAGCGGCGCGAACACTCTCCTGTACGTACCACAATAAACAGGAGGCATCTGCGAAGATTAAGCATTTTCGCTCCTTCGTGACTCCTGCATCTTCTTCGCCTGGAAGTGTGCTAGCAACTGCCTCTAGGCATCCTCGCTGTCAAAGGTCCTTGTCCTACAGGCGCTTGTCGCCAGTGCTGCGCGATCTGGAGCACACGCCAAGCATGGACGCAAAGCAACGGCTCGGCATGCTCAGGGATCAGACCATGGAATGAGCTTCGAGAAAGGCTGCAACTCACTGTATCTTCATCAGCTCCACCAGTTTATGCCTGGTCAAAATGAGAGAGTTGCATGAGTACAGCATGTGGAACACGCCTGGAAGCGGCAGGCCTTTGGACGTCCTCGGAAAAGTCGGCTTGCACTGTTGCACAACGAACTGCTTAGCGAGGCCGCTCGCTGGCCAGACTAGCAAACGCCGTAAGTGTGTTTAACGGACTGCTTTCTGGGCAGATCTTGAATGCATCAAGAGCTGGTTGGATCATTTGGGATCCAAGCTTCTTGCCCGCAGCCTTTCCAAGAGACCTCGGTGCGTATGCTCAGTCAAAAAACGGAGGTCTGCCATCCCCAAGTCATGTCTAAGCATCACATGCGGACACATGCGGTATGGCCAGGCTGCCTGGAACGATCAGCCGCAGGGATGGGGCCACTCCACTGTGGCGCCGGCGCCATTGGGGCCATTGGGGCCATCTGACCAGCGCGTTTCCCACCATTTTTGCCAGCACTTTTGCCACCTTTGCCGGCTTCCACCACGGGCTCTCTGAAACGCAGAGAGCCTTGCCGAAGCAACTCCTTCTGCGCAGCCACACAGAGTGCATCAGACAGGCATGCGAAACGCAAGGACTTCCAAATACTTCCAAGCATGGCGTCCTGCAGCAACGACACGAGTTCTTTGTCCTTCACGCCGCCGTCCCTCGCAAAGGCTACCCCGCCGTCAGTGGAAATCCTTGACTTGAAGAGAGCTGGCACTCACGCATGGCACCCGCAACACACTTCAATCAAGAGTACGGAGTCTGTGCGACCGTTAAATGCCGGGTCAAGCCTCTGTTCGGCACACTCGAACAAAGCATCCTGACATCTTCCAACATCTCAGAAGCTGAAAAACATGAAATATGCCAGTGTAAGTTGCACATACAGAAAGCTTGCAATGTCCATGTCCTCGATTCTACTTCGCAACAGCAGGAGCAAGTGAGCAGTGTCCTGGGCGCGTGTGTCTTGCGAAGTGCTTCAAATAAACTACAGTTTACATGTTGTTCTACTCTACATTGTTTTGTGCCGTGCGCAGTCTGGAGACGAAGTGACTCAGAGGCAAGCTTGACACAACATGCAGAACACGAACACAAAATAACACCAAGCTTCTGGAAGCACCGGCCCGATCGGGATCCAATCTGCGATGATGACGCAATTTCCTTCCTCTGGGCTACGTCTCAGAAGGACATGTGGGCATTTCCCTAAATAGGGGTACCCCTTTTTTACCTCAAATAGAGCCCCTGAAACGACCCCTTACAACAGCACATATGGCATTCACGAACGTTCCTCGGCATCCATTCGGATCGTGGAATTCGCAAAAGGCTTGAGCAAGGCCAGTAGCGGCGGCATGTTTGTAAGTTGCCTCACAGGGCTTCTGATTGGGAGGGGCATGGCCTAAATGTTTCAAAAAGCCATGTGCCTGCATCGTGCAGGTCTCCACCCTTCCTCTTGCATTCGATCGAGGAACGCGAACAGCGGCGAAGGAAAAACCTGGACGCTCGATCAACATGCGCCGATGCTGGGAAGGAAGATGCTCACTACGATTTGAAATTCCTCTCTGCCCATGTGGGACGTGGTGCTTGCAGCCATGACGCAAACGAGTTTTTGCAACAGTTCAAGGAGCTTCTGTGGATGGCACCGCGAGCCTCCTGAAGGAATTCTTTGGCCGCCCCGCCCCCCCCCCCCCCCCCCCCCCCCTCTCCCACAGAAGCATCCCGGCAGCATCCTCATCCACCCAAAGATGCCGCTTCTCTTGGTGCACCGCCACATGTGGCAAGGCAGTTGCGAGGCCCAAGAGCACGGCGCCCCATTGCCACTCCTGGAAAGCCGTCTGATCCACCAATACGAACCAAAAGAGCAACGCATCTGTGGCTCGTCTGGCAAGGCGCCTGCGGCCCCCAGTCACGGATGGCTGTGTGACTTCGCTTCCTGGAGGATGGTCCGAGTGCATCCTCGACAACTCCAGCTTCTATGCATAGGGGACAAATAAAAGGAGAAACAAGCCTTGGAAGATGCCAGGACGGCGAAAAAACGAGCACTTGAAGTGCAAAATCGGTCCTCATCAAGGGGCTCGGGGCCTCCCAAGCCCAAGGCTCCCAGAGCATCGGTTTGCAGCAAGCTGCGCAGCTGCTCGGAAGCATCGTAAACCTCGAACAGTAGCTGAACATGCAGCTGAACCCTCAACCCTAAACATCCCTGAACCCCATACCTTAAACCCCAAACCCAAACCCTCAAACCCTAAACCCATTTTTCGGATGCCCTGCCTGTCTCATGATGGCAGGGTGAAGGCCCTCGGATGTGATAAAGCTGTTCGCGGAGTTCAGGCCAACGGTCTCCACGAGGCGGGCATACTCCTCAACTGCTTAATGGTTAAAGGGTCCGGGGGCCAGGATTCAGGGTTTAGGGAGTGCTTACAGCGCTTAGAGGCCCCATGGAATACTGTAGAACAGGAATGAATCGCAAACACGATCCTTCCGGCTCTTCTTAAGCTGCGCCATCTCTAGAATTCCAGGAGCATCCGCAAATATCCGCAAAACCCAACGATGCCCAAAACAAGAGTTTCCATCCCCGCGCCAGGTCTCCTGATGCACCAGACCCAGCAGAAACTGGTCCTGCAGAAGGCCAAAGGTTCAAGTTGCTGTGGTACAGCGTGGTTCACGCAGAAAGCAACTCAGCCGGTCCGAATGCTTGTGCGAACCTGGGCTGGCTCGACATCCCACACGCCGACGTCAGCATATTAGATGCAACACCAAGTCGCCCTGATACTTCTGTGAGATTGACCATGGCAGATAGCCCGCGGATCTCTCAAAACGGAAAGGCTCGTCAAAGGACATGGCAGCACCTCAGCATCTTCTTGCAAGCCTTCCTGCGATGTCTTGTGCGCCATAGGCGTGGACTAAGCCTGGCGCAGAGAGTGGCCATTGCATCGCCCAGTCCAAAAAACCAATGTCCCATCAGCAAAGCCAGGCTCACCTGTACAACAAGGCAATGGGAAAGTTGTCTGATCATGTCAAGCAATGTGATCCCGGGGTTGGAATCAGCGGTCTGTAGTTTCAGAACGTACCCGAAGATGCTGTGTTCGGGTACGTGCGTGCGTGGGTGTGTGGATGAGTGGGTGGGCAGAATTGGGGCATTGCGCAATGCAAGCTGCGCACATGTCCGTCATCCAGTGTTGAGAGTGCTCACTTTCCCGCTTCATGCCTCTGGGTCACATGAGGATCCAAAGGGAGGCGTGCCAAGATTCGACCAAGGCTTGTGAGGTTCTGCTCGTCATCCAGTGCCCTAGCCATGGGCGGGATTCAAGGCTTCTGACTGGCTCAGGGGGCACCCCTGAACGTGCTGCCTCACCAGCGTCAGCTCTGATATGGCATGGGTCACCTGGGCAGGATTCCTTGTCAGCTCAAGCTCTGATCTAAGACAACCTCACAAAGGCTCTCTTGTTTTTGAGTTGTTGGCGGCGCTTTCGGATGGTGGATCTGGGCATTGGAAGAGCACGGTCATGATGTCACCCAATTCCAGTGATTTCACCAGGAGCGCAGCCCCCACCTTCAGCTTCAGACTTCCATCACTACACAGTTCCGATGGGGGAACACCTGGAACAAAGTTGAAAAGGGCTGCTGTTGACCATCGTACACCATCGTGCAGCGCACGGCTGAGCCGCCAAGGGCATCCTCGTCAGCTCAGGCGGAACTTCATCCTGCACAGGTCGGTAGTAAGCCCGAAACCCCGGAATCTCTAAACCCTTTTTAAGCACGGACTCAGGCTGCCGGCAACACCTGAAAGCAGGGCCTGCTTGCCTTTAACAAGGGTCGCATCAACAGAATCTCTAAACCCTAAACCCTGAACCCTAAACCCTAAGCCCTAAGCCCTAAACCCATTTCGTTCACGTCTGGGCCCCACTCCGAATGTCCGCATGGCAGAGCCCTCTCGCCTGCAAAGCCTCGCAGCGCTGCTCAGTGCAAAGTCTGAAGCAAAGCCCGGGTCGAGTTCGGCCCGCACGACCCTGCAAAGCAGAGGCGAGCTCTCAAGGGGGTCTTCCCAAGGAGCTCCACTTAGTATGAGATCATCCGAGTCAGGTGTGCCCCCCAGTTCTGGAACTTTGGGTTTTTGAGGCCCGCAGCTCATCCGAAGGCTTTAGGGCTTCGAGCGGGCACGACATTGGGCTAAACCTGGTTTGCTCCTATGCCTTCCGCTGCTCCAGGTTGTGGCGGCCAGTGAACACTACGTCCGAGTACCTCGCTTTGTCAAGGATACTGAGGACCGGGACAGCAGTTGTTGCCGAAAACCGGGTCTCAAGCGAGAGCTTTGTGGTCTCGGAGAAAAAGGTTATCTTGACCTGGGCTTGGCAGAACGCAGACCTGCAAGAGCCACTTGACGCTTATCAGACTGAGGACGGAGCCTTGCAAGAGTCTATGACCTGGGTATGTGGGGTCAACTAACTGTGGATAGCTACATTGCGCATACATCGCACAGCAGCCGCCAATCAAGGGGCATGCGCAAGTCACATCATCAATTGTGATGGAGGACTCCGCAATATTGGTGGCCAGAATCACCTGCAAACGTGATTAGGGCTTTTGCTTTGCTTCAGCATGCAGGTAGGAACTGCTGAAGGTGATGAATGGTAACACGACAAGCAGCGTTTGGTCGAGCGGAAGCGTGCACCAGAGTTGATAAGCAAAGTCAGCACATGCCATATCTGCAGGTATGTTTTGCAGCGAAACAAGCTTGGAAAACCAGATTCATTATCGTAGAGTGACACAGTTTGGCCACTTCTGTGCATGCGGTTCACTTAACACGCTCAGCGGCATGCTACAAACAGATCGCAACAAAGACCGTGAACAGTGAGAGGCGGAGAGAGCAAAAGGCATCGAGAAAGAAGGTAGAGGGCAAGTGGAAAAACTGCCTCCAACCAATGCCAGGGGTGGCATTCACAGTTCTGGCAATTGCGGAAGAAAACGGCTTAACCGCACAAAAGGTAGACTTGCGCTCTGCATTTCATCAAGTATCATCAGAGAAGCTTGCGGCAACCCGTGCAGTTGCACGTTCTTGTTTCGGTAGTCGGACACCGAAGTGGAAACGAACCGTGTCGTCCTAAAATAGATCTGCTATAACTTCATAAAACAGTAATCCATTCAAACACTGCCTCGACACAAAAAAGCCATAGTAAGACAAACTAACAGATATCGTGAATTTCAAGGGCCCCTTGGCTTCCGCCTTGGCAAGCCCGGCCGGCGCTGGACTGAAGGCTTCCATCTGCGCTTCCTTGGGCACCTTGAGCGCCACCAGCCCCGTGCATCTTGCAACCGCAACTGGTTCTGGGTTCAGATCGAGGGTTTAGGGTTTAGGGGGTTTAGAGGGTTTATAGGGTTTAGGGGGTTTATAGGGTTTATAGGGTTTATAGGGTTTATAGGGTTTATGGGGTTTACGGGGTTTACGGGGTTTACGGGGTTTAGAGGGTTTAGAGGGCTTAGGACTTCGGCCTGCGAGTGGAGCATGATCACCTTGCAGGACTTGCTGAGGACCGCATCCGCCTAAGCGATGCTGAGCCCAAATCTGCCAAACCCGGCTTTCATGTACAATACATACATACATACATATATATATATATATATATAAAGCGGCAATCATACATACACAAATATATCATATATGAATGTATATGTATGTTGTTGCATAGTACTTGTGCCGAGACCCTTGCCTCCATGAGTTTGCTCAAGACGGTCATGATACTCCAGGTGGGCAAAAACACCAGGACCTTGAATTTCATTCACGACAGGCATCATCCCACATGCCCTGGGATATTCCCCCTTGTACTAACAGTCCTTAATCGGGATTATCGTACCCCCTATTATTATCTCTATTAGGGACTGCTCGTAGAAGGGGGAACATCCCAACACATGACCCAAACCCTCCCAAACCCAGACCCCCGAAGGACCAAGGCTGAAGCCGAACCCGTCTCAGCAGAAACCGTGCCCTCGGTGATCAGAGTCGACAGCAGGTCCTACAGCTCGGCTGCACTGTTAGGGTATCGGGTTTCGGGTTTCGGGTTTAGGGTTTAGGGTTTAGGGTTTAGGGTTTAGGGCTTAGGGCGGCTTAAGGGCGCGTGTCAAGCAGATGTGTGGTATCTGCAACCGCTCTCCCGAGTCAGCTCCAAAGGGATCTTCTGCTCAGGCATGTCCTTCAGCGCCTGGCGGAATCCAAAAACAACATGAGCACCAAAAGCCTCAGAAGAGACACGCCAGCCACGCATATACACGCAAGCCCTCGACTCCACATCCCACAAATGCACTAGATCAAGTTATGAGGAAAACTTGGTCCGCATGCACAAAAGCGGCAGATCAGCCTGGACAGTGGAGGGCGAATAAACCCGCTCATTGCAGACGTTCATCGACTTGGAAGGGTCCTTCTTCTCCTTGTTCCTCGATCAGTGATCTGGGCATCAAAACAACTTTGGGGGCATTAATCTTCCATAATCATTCTAAATACTTTGTGAATAACGAGAATAGAGTTCCACGCTCAAAAAAGTTAAGAACAATCTATATATGGACATTGAGGCCAGGTCGGCGCCGATGGCTTCCACCTGCGCTTCAGCTTTGGGACCGGTGTGCATTCACCTACTCATCCTGCGTGTCTGTTGCTAAGAGATCACAAGAAAAAGAATCTGCATCAAGCTGCAGCGCACCCCATCTTTTCGACGATGTCCTCGAGGTACAGGACCTTGACCTCGAGCTCTTAGCCCGCGAATGCACGGTTCCATGCCTGCAGCATATACTCGACAAAGCACATCGTAGTTGTGCCCATCGATGGAGATGACCTGGGAGAGCGATTAGTACTGCACCGAGTGGCCACGTCACGCTTCAGGCCGCCGGGCAGCGCCCCTCTCAGCCCACTGCTGGCGGTGGCTCTACAGGGCCGGTCGGCCTTGCCGGACATCCCAGAGACAGATGGTACGCGTGAACCGAGCCTCGCCTCTGGCTCATGAACTCTTGGAACTTGCGGGCATCAATGGTCGCCTTCAGAAAATGCAAAAACTTGTTTATGCATCTGGCGCCAGCTCTCCTCGCTGCACTTTGTATGTGCTCAGGCCGCGGCAGACATCAACACCACCTGCATAAACAGTGCCAGCGCGGCATGTTGCACAAAGACTTTTTCTCAGCGCGTGTGCAAGGGCTGGCTCGGACCTTCAAGTCCGGGTGAACTGACGCAGCTGAGCGGAGCAAGCCCAGCAGAACATCCTAAAGCAGGAAGCCATCGGCTGAATAATCACCAGCTTTAAACAGAAAGAAACCTGATAGTATACTGCGTCCTTGGCAAGCAAAAACGGCTATGTCACTTTATGGGTGTGAGTGTAGATATTTATATATATATATATATATATATATATATGCTTATTTATTTGTTTATTCATTTGTAATTTTTAAAGATAGATCGGCTTGCGACATGCTTGGAGAGAAGGCGGGAACTGTAAGTGCGCTGCATTGTCCAAGTCCCGCTCGTGAACCTCATGAGTAGCCGTCTTCCTCTAGCCGCTTGTAGCAACATGTCTGGCCGCCAGCATGAGGGCCACACCTCGTCCACGATGACGTGGGATATTCCACACAGTCCCCGGAAGTGGAGCCGCTTCAGGAGCAGACCAGATCTCGGAGCAGCAAGGGCTAACACAATGCAAACACATGAGGTTCGAAATTGGCAAGCTGGCTCTGTGTTTGGCCCTCAGCCGCTTGCGTCATGTAACAAATGCCTCCAGGCCGTTGCGGCCAGACCTGGTCACCAGATGCACTCCGGACGGCAGAGACCACACACACAGATCCACAGAGTCTCTGAAGCATGGGAAGCGCCCCCAAGGGCGACGCAGCATCAAAGCGTATCGCATAGCCCACCGAGGCGCCGAGTGGCTCCCCACGCTCAGCTGCGACGCGCCTTGCAACCTGTGCCCAAGGACCGAACTGCCCAAAGGGCGGGAACCCGAGAATCCGATGAAAACCTGAAGAGCGACCTCGAACAAGTTTGCGCATGCTTAGGATTCTCATTCAGCACGTTGCAGCACAGGGGCCGTCATGGCCGCAAGGCGGCGAGGCTGCGTAACAATGATCGTCTTGGGGCCGCCCCCATCCTCCGCAGCGAGGAAGACAGACAGCAGCCCGAAAACAAGCCCAGGGCGCACCTCGAAGTCCAGAATGTATTGTGGAACCTGCGTGGTCTTGCCAGAACCCGTGGAGCCTTGGATGATGCTCACCTGACATCGTGCCCACGAGCGGAGCGAACGCCAGGTAGCCATCACGCATCCCCTACCTGGTTCTGAGCCACCGTGTCCACAATCTCCTTCGAAAAGGCATGCCGCAAAGGAAGCACAGGAAGGGTTGTCCCAGGACTTCAACAGTCAACTCGCTTGAGGCTTTCAGGTGCTTTCGGTCTTGGCGTTCAACAGCCAGGTAGTTTTGCAGCACGTGGAGCCTGGAAACGCGCAGCGATCGGCAGAGCAGCGCTTGCCTGCCACACAACAGCTGCAAGACGCAGCGACTTCAGCTGCAACTGTGTTGGGCCATTACTGGTAGGCCTCATCTAAGCTCTCTCCGGCGCTTCGTTCTTGCCCTTTTCTTTTGCCCAGCTGATATAGCTAGAAACAACAGCTCCAAGCCCACATTTTAGCATGATACTGCACATGTACTACAGACTTCTAGTATACTCTACATCCAATCTTCTTGTCTGGCGGGGTATGGGTGTAGGTTCACCCACGTCACAGAGGGCAATCCAGAAGGGCCTGCCAGAGGGCTCAGATTTAACGAAAAGCAGCTTCCCCGCAATAGATTTGTCAGTCTGCTCGTGTCATGCTGGGCCTTGAGCTGCACAAGATATGCTTCTGACTCTACATCAGCCCTCGCCCGCCCTTGGGAAAGCTGTTCGGTGACTCCCTGACGTTTCAAGGTTTCACGCGTGGGGATTGCCACCGTCGTCTGCAAAATATGGCTGTGGAGAGCCAAGGGTGCAGGCAATATCTCAACCCCACTTTAGAGCCGCCTACACTCACCTGGCTTAAGGAACCAGTCCTATGACCGCGGTGTAGCAAAAGAATGGCCTCATGTGCTGGAAGTCAGGTCTTAAGTTGCGGTCTTTACTTGCAGTAGCCGCACCGTGCGAGCGAGCGTAGAGCTTTCAGTGACTTGCCCTCATGGCTGCAGAAAGCAGGCCGTTTCATGCCTGACTTGCAAACTTGCCCTAAACCCTCAACCCTTTGGCATCCAGGCCTCGTAACGACTGCCGGGTACTTGACCCTCAACCCTAAACCCCTAAACCGAACACCCAGCAGTCTTCCCGCCTCTGCCCCAATGGCTGCAGCGTAGGGGTCTACCGGATGGTCCACCCGCGGCTCGGGCCAAGGGGCCGGTCCTAGCCAAGGCGTGTAGCGGACCTTTTTTGGGCGGAGGGTTTCGACTTTAGGGTTTAGGGTTTCGACTCTCACAAAGCTTTTTTGTTGCCACCCGCCTACAGTAACTGTCCAAAAGACGCACTGCAGGGACTACGCGCGATACTCGAAATAGTGGCCATCTGCGACATGTCGAAGACTTTGTCTTGCTGACCAGATGACTGTAGAGGCTCTCTTTCCCATACCTTTGGGTCTCAGGCGGTCCTTCATCGGGAGACGACCACGGAAGAGCTGCCAGGGACCCTTCCCCATGGGGCAGGTTCTTCGGATCCAAGGCCTTGCGATCGGGACTAAAAGTCAAGGGACTAAAGGAGAGACCCCTGTAAGGGACCTTAGGGGTCATTTAGGGGTGGGGGTTGGGGCTGCTTAGGTACTCCGGACTATACAGTGCATATTCAGGGGATATATCTGGGTCAAAAGGGGAAAGATTAAGGGTCCCTTGTGAGGGCCCCTCGGCCTCTGCATGCCTGTGGAGTCTGCAGTCTGTAGCGAGCTTGTTCTTTTGCCGGCCCCAAGTCTAGACGCAAGATGAGAAGATTTGGGTGGGGGGGGGGGGGGGGCATTCTTGAAATCTAAGGGGCCCCTTCAAGCCTTCGAGCCCTTCGGGGGGGGGGGGGGGGAGATTCCATTGCTTGTACAAAAGGCATCCGAAAAAGCGTGCCCTCACGAAGTATAAGTATCCTTCAAGGTCCTGGAGGCCGTTACTCACGGTCCCTGGCTTTTGAGTGCGAGGGCATGACATGCACAACAACTTCCGTGAGTCTCGGAGGGCTCACGATGCCGAAGCAAACCCCCCCCCCCCCCGCCTCCCACAAGACCGTTCCTGGAGGGGCTCCAACTTCCCCAGGAACCTGCCATAGCAACAGCATCAAGGACACGCACAACACACCACGAAAGTGGTCGCCCCTGTGCTAGATCTATAGGACCCACTTCACAGACACTCAGGTGCATCACGTCTTCACGTCTTCGACTCTCACGACTTTCTTTGACTCTCACGACTTTCTCACAACACGTCTTAGGGTCTCCCCCCAGCAATCTCCAGTCAGAAAGCTGCAAGGATTTCGCATGCTGGCTGCTGTAGCTGCTGCATGTGTTGTGTCTGTACAGGCAGTGCTTCGAAATTCCGGGCATGGCTCTGGCACAATGAAGCTGAGTGTGTCTGAGCATACGAAGTGGTGGTCAACCTGCAGCTGCAAGAGCGTTGCACGTCATGAGGCACACTCAGCTCTGTGTTCACCGCTTCAAGCAGGCTGCCTTGCCTTGGGGGACAGGAAGCTTAACAAAATGGGTGCCAAACATTCTCAAACTCACTGCGACACATCCACTTCAACAGCGGATGTCGGATCCCACGCTCATGCCTTGCGGTCATATCGCACCCCTCCTAGGTGTCCCTTCTGGGACGGGATCTAGGCACAAGAGCGCGGATCAATTCAGTTCTAGTCCAAGGCCTGTCTAAGTCCCTCAGCATCACTCGGCTCTGCCGTCAGCTTCCTCTTGTAAGGAACCGGCATGGCTTGAGCTGTCTGAGCTGTCCACGTCTGACTGCAGCGCTGCTGCTGCTACGGCGAACTCTGGATCGGCTCTGAGGGCAGCAGACGCGTAGCACAGAGCGACCGTAGTCTCGGCAACGGCGGCACGGACAATCTCCCGATCGTCTTGCAAGGAGGGCGCGGCGAAGCTAAGGGCGAGCCCATCCTGTCGAACCGCCGCGAGCACGACGGACTTGTCGGCGCAGAGCTGCGGGGCCGCCGAGCGCAGGGCGAGTCCGCTCTCGTGCACGGCTGCAAGGACGATGCCACGGTCCGCCCGCAAGGCGTCGGAAGCGAAGGGTAGCGCCGTGCCACAATTCGACACCGCCGCCAGCACAACCTCTCGATCTGCTCGGGGGCCATCACCAGCATATCGCAGCGCGGACCCACTATGCTGCACGGCTGCTAAGACCACTTCACGGTCGGCCTGAAATTCTGGGGCAGCATATCGGAGGGCAAGGCCGTTCTCTTGGACGCTCACCAGTGCTACATCTTTGTCATCTTTCAACGCACCTCCGGCGTACTGTAAATCGAAGCCATTTCTAGAAACGGCCGCAAGGACGATGTCCCGATCTCTTCGGAGGTCTTCGGAAAGTTCCCGCATTGACATGCCTAGGGCTTCAGCAGCGGCATGTGCATACATGTGTGCGCCTGTGCATGTTGAGGCCGACTTTCAAGCAAGTCTGAGCTCGCCACCAGAGGAGACCGCCTCAAGGGCTTTTTGGCGATCAGGGTTCAAGCGGATGAGCACCATGGCCGGAGTTGACATGTCCCACCTTGGTTTGGAGGCACGATGGAACATGCTGGAATGCTTCGCATTTCGCACTGCAGGCGCTTTCCTGGTCTTGTAGATGAGCTGCTTTTCCTCTTCCTCGATGCGCCACTCTCCCACCGCAAGATTTGTCACGGCGCCATGTACAGGGAGCAGCCGTTGTTCACGTACTGGGATCTGTAACTCTTGCTGCAGCTTGAGCTTGATGCTTCTGAGACCTGCCAAACTGAGTGGTGCTAAGTGTCAGGCGGGCAGCACATGGCAACACAGCTGCGATCTCTAGCTCACTCTAGCTTCTCTGGCCAGCTCTGTGCCGCTGAGCTGTTGCCGAGGAGCTGTCAGAACTGCTGACTCGGAGATCGCAGAGCTTCTGGCCAGTGAAGGCTGCAAAGATCGGAAGGCCCCGGTCGGCCGCCATGTCCTGCACCGTTCCGGGACTGCGCCCTGTATGCTCGCAATTTGCAGGCCACTACGCCACTTGCAGCGGGAGCGGTCGCTTCTTGCTCTTGCTACCCTAAAAAAATTGCAGCGGAGTCCTTCCATGCGACGGCAGTCTCTGCAGTTCTGCGGCCAATCGACTTCTGCAGTGCTTACGTGCTGGACACACAAATCGTCATCGAACTAAGTTGACTGCTCAGGGGGAGCCTACTACTTCCTGGCTGAGCTTGAAGTTCCGCTACTTTCTCGTCCATGACTTGTGACTTGACAGCTTTCCGGCCAACACTGCAACATCCGGCTTTGAGCCACTGCACAAACTGCAGGAAGTCGTGCGCAGAGTTCAGCCAGTTGTCTGGGGGCCGGGTGCGGCCAGGGCACGGAGCCTTTCTGTCCTCAGGCAAAGCATTCCCGCGCGTGCCTCGTAGCCACAGTGCTGCAAGTAGGTTCGCAGGCGCCCCTGTCATTTCGTCTCAGGTAATCAATCAAGGATGGCGCAGGATGGCTGGTCACTTGGTCAGCTCTGATCCCGCAGCCTTCAGGCCAGGCTGCCTGGGCCCATCGAAACATGTCAAAAACATGCTGCGCAAAAATACCTCAAAAACGATTGAGTCAGGGTACAAGCCCAGGGCGAAGGAGCCGGCTTCTGAGTACTTGCTTCCCTGACAGGTAATTAGTGCGTCGCAGCATTCTCATGGGCGGGTAAAAATTATCCTGGCCTCCAAGCTCTCGAAGAACCTGTGGCCGAACGTGAAAAAAGCCCGGCTGTGCTAGCAAAGCTCACAATCTGCAGCTCTCCACGGATACGAAGCAACGGTTGTGCGAGCAGCAAAGAGTGACGAAGCTTCCGTGGCTATGCCATTCTTGGGCGAGTAGGTTGCCACGGTGCGAGGCAAACTCACAAGACGAAGAGGCCGCACTCCACGGCGGCCCGACTTTGTGGAATCGGTGCACCGGCTAGCTTGGGCATATGCTTGCTCAGGGTTTCAAGTCCAACCGATGCTGCGACGGCTGCTAGCGTGCACAGATACCGCTCAATTTCGTAATCTCGTCTGCCATCAATTGCACAATCAACGAAGTTGAACTTATGAGGGGGATGGCATGTCGGGCACCTGTAACAAATAATATCCATACGCACACGACGCCAGCGCCCCATCGCAACTTGGGGCAAGCACGTGGCATCGCGTAGACATGAAAAGGAAGGTTGGGCGGGCTTGGCGCACGGTGACCCCCTACTCATCCTACTCTCTCCAGATCAGGTTAGCCAACACTGCACACATGGCCCATGCAGGCCCCCTTTCAGATCTTGCACTTGCAGGCTTCACTCCGAAGCTTGCTGAGAACCTGGCGTGCTCTTCATGCTGTTCCGCCTGTATGGCGGCATCAGACCTGGCAACATAAACGGAGAGAGTTTTCCCATTGGAACGGCACTCGAATTCTTCTACAGCAACTGGGACATGCAAGTACACGTGCTGGCAGTACCAAGTGCAAAGAGCTTGCGGCAGACCTGGCACGTCTATGTCTCTGAGGGCAGGTTGCCTCTGTTGACTCGGGGTTTGGGGATTTGCTGTAGCTTGTGCTGCCTTGAGTGCGAGCTCGTTCTGCACTAGCTTCTTGTTGGACGCAACGTGCCTGAGTAAGTCTTTCGGTCTGCCAAAACCACAGGCAGCGAACGTTGTCTCAAGGCCGTCGCGACTCGACAAATCGCCGGCCTTTGACCTTCGCAAGAGGCCAATGCCAGTCAAAGGTCGCTACATGCCCTAAAGCAAGATCTCCCAAGATGCCCCAGCTGCGCCTGGAAGCTGATGCTTGCCCGAAAGGACACAGAATGGTCTGGGCCGTGCTGTTGTATCTGCATCTCGGTTGGCTGGCGCCTCAGAAACTGCGAGTGCTTTGCGCGGGGCGCTCTTTGCTGGACGCCAGCGCGCCAAGCACATGCATCGGATCCTTGCCGTCCATGTGCCACCGCTTCAAGTTCTCATTCAAGTGCCCGCGCGCAATCTCGATCGTGAAGTTGCCGGCGCCATCATCCACTCTCTGCACAACAGGCCTGCGCGACACAACCAATTCGAGCCTAACCAACATCAAGCCATCGAGTATTCTGCAGATTTGCAAAGCAGCGCAAAAATCTACGGGCATCTGCCTGGTCGCGGCTGGAGTGGGAGCTGCACACGGGTGCTGCTTCCGGCCCACATCTTGCGGCGCCTTACTACGCTCGGAGCAGGCCCTGAAGAGAAAAGCTATAACGGTGACCCTTGCTTTCCCAAAACCCTAAACCCTAAACCCTACACCCGAAACCTACACCCTAAACCCTAACTTTTCAGGGAGGAGCTGGTCGGCGGAAAGCCACGGGCACTGCTGGGCGCCCAGAAGTTGCGTGTGGGATCGGCGGCTGCCCTGGCGATACCTTGCAAAGGCAACACAGCCAGTGCCCCCTAATACTCCTTAATAGGGATTATAATCGGGGGTACGAAAATCCCCTAGTAAGGACTGTTAGCATTAGAGGAAACATCCCAACAACATGGTCTGTAAGTTTGGGCCAAGGGTTGGGTCAAAATTTCCATCATTCCCCCTCTCCCCGAACGGCTTGTCACGGATCATGCTCCCGATCTCCCTCGAGAGATAGGTCGGGCAGGCATTTATTTGCTACGGGCATCCAGTATGATCACACTACGAAGACTAAAAACACGAAAAGCACAACAGGCACCAATATAACAACACTAAGAATAGTAGCCATTTCCAATCGCAGTAAACATACCGAATAATAAAAAAAAAAAAAAAACGAATAATACACCGAATGCTATGCTAACTGTGCAAGCTGGCAGCCTTGTGGGCCAGATGTCCCTGGGCCAGTGGACCAGAAGGGATGGCACTTCCACCAGAGGCCTTGCGCTTCTTGGTCGACGGCTCCGCCCTTGGCTTAATTTTTCACTCTCCATAATACGGGACCCCTAAAAAAAGACTCCCAAGTAGTAGGGTCCCCTTATAACCCAATAAGATAACCCGAGTATCGTAAACCCCTATTTCACAGCGTACGAAAAACAGGACAAGAGTGACTCAAGGCATTCAAGAAACGCTGCTTGGTCAAGCAGTCCTGACGACTCGAGGAATCGGAACATATCCTGCATTGCCAACCTTTGCATGCACGAGGCATCTGGATCCGTTTGGCCACGCACCCGGTTACAGCATAATTGCTCCATTGAAAATTTCACATCGCTGCGCCCGGCTGAAATCTAGGGCAGTTGCGCTTGAGCACGCTTCTTGCCTTAGAAGCACCACGTGTGAAGAAATACACCGGTCGAACAGCAGAACCGCCACCCGTCACTGCTTCATGAGAACATCTTCTATAACCCTATGACCTGATGATCCGTGCCACTCAATGATTCTCCCTCTCTCGAAGGCTGGTTTCCACCGCCAAGGGCCCATGCAGCCAAGGGACTGGGGGCAGATGCCACGGACACCTTCTGGACTCCTTGCACACCCCAAACCCTAAACCCTAAACCTTAAACCCTAAACCCCTAGTAGCCTGCGAGCATCAAGCATCGAACGCAGCAGTCCTGGGATCTTGAGAGTGCCTTACTCTGAAGCCAAACTCCCAGAGGGAGGGGGGGGGTTCCGAAACTCAGGGTACCTTTTTTGGGGGGTCCCATTAATGGGCTTCTATTCTATTTGGGGGCATAAAAGGGGTAGCCCTGTTGTGGGACATACCTGCCGTGCAAGCAAGGTGCATTGGAAGTCTTTGGTGGGGGTTGCTTGAATGGACACCTTGACTTGAAACTTGAAAGCACAAGCCAAAGAGCTGTCGCAATGTCCTACGGGCGCCGAGACAGGCGGGGGCTGGCCTCGAACTGCGTTCCAATCCTTGCCACGGGCCGCACCACAACGGATCGGGAGGGGACTAAGAACTCTGGCATACTATCATCGGGGAACATTCCTGACCCACACCAGGCCAAGGAGCTTCTGACAATATGTATTGACCTCCGACGCAGCTTCCGCCATGCACCGCGACCCATGTCAACTAACGCTATGCTTGAGCCTGCAGCGCTCTGACGCATTTGAGTTGGGATGTTCCCCCTTAGGGACTATAATAGGGGTACTCCAATCCCTCTTAAGAACTGTTAGTATAAGTAGGAACATCCCAACATTTGAGGGGTAATTCCAGTGGTGTTTGTTCACTCGCTGGACGAACCACACTGCACGGATGCTGGGGGCGACTGTTCGGGTTTAAGATTCTTGCTGCCACCCGGGTATGTTGTCTTGTGGGGGTCAGGGTTTTTGACTTCTCCGGCGCAGCTCACACTCTGCCAGATCTACCACAAGCTTCGAGTGTGCTTGCATGGTGGACATGGAATCTGAGCAAGGCCACTTGCCCCCTTCTCCTCCCCGCTGGCGAAAATACCTTGGCGGCCCGCAGCAACCAGCAACTCGTGCGAGTCACGATCGGAAGGTGCCGAGTATATTATTTTATTGTACTTTATGTTATACTATATTATACTATAGTTCAAAATATTGTATTTTATTATATAATGTGATCTTATCTTATCTTACCTTACATTATATTATAGTATAGTATCTTATAACGCATGGCAGCGGCTGTCAGTCGTATTAAAGGTCCGCCCATGAACAGAAACACTGCACTTCACAAAGCGCTGAGCACCGGCACCGGCCAAGAGATGCATTGAAAAAAAGCCATGGCTGATGCTTGCCTTAGGAATTTAGGGTTTAGGGTTTGGGGTTTAGGGTTTGGGGTTTAGGGTTTAGGGCAGCTGCCGCCACCTTTGAGCATCTTGATGACATCTTGACATCTCAGGAGCGCACCCTCCTGGTTCTGGCGCTCATGCATATACCAAACCTTCGCCCAGGACCAGAATGCAATCAGGAAGGGCATCTGCCAACATCAAGTGCTGCCATGCTTCCAAAAGTTGATCATTGCTATTCTATTCTGAAATTCTGTCTCTTCATAATATAGACATATATATATATACACACACACACATGCTTTTAGTTAAGCTTGTTTATCTTATTGTTGATTACAAATACTATGGCTATTCTTGTGTGATTGTGAAGCTTGGACTCCCACACCAGGCAGCTGCGGGATGGGTGTTCCCATCTGCGTCTTCACCCAGTTGGGACCTCGGACGCGCAGTCCGCGGAGTCAGTTTTGGGGGTTTAGGGTTTAGGGTTTGGGGTTTCGGGTTTAAGGTTTAGGGTTTAGGGTTTAGGGTTTAGGGCTCCCTAGATACCTCCCATGACCCCCCCCTCCCTTAAGAACCCTAGAGGTCTCAAGGGTGCAAAGCAACCCCAGCAAAGCTGTTGAAAGTTCAAGGACTCTCTGGGGTGCCCTAGCAAGCCCTTGTCTTCTGGATCAGGGCGCCTGCGGTATACCCGAAGCCCAAACTTCAACATCTGATACCCTTCTTTCTCTCCTCTTCTTCTTCTTCTTCTTCTTCTTCTTCTTCTTCTTCTTCTTCTTCTTCTTCTTCTTCTTCTGCTGGACTTGGGAGCCCGGGGGCCCCCGCGCGCGAGCGCGCCCGATAGTCTAAAGTGAACCCCCGTCGGGTGGCGACAAGAGAGGATGCCTCTCTCTCTCTCTCTCTCTCCTGCACGCTCATCCTCTCTCTCTCTCTCTCTCTCTCGCTCTCTCTCTCTACTCTCTCACTCTCTCACTCTCACCCTCACCCTCACCCTCAACCTCACCCTCACTTCTTCTTCTTCTACGGGGCTTGAAGAGGGTGACCCCTCCCCGCGCGCAAGGCGCGCCCGGAATGCGTTCAGGTCTCACGTGAAACTTTCGCGACAGTGAGGTCTCTCTCTCTCTCTCTCTCTCTCTCACTCTCTCTCTGGCAGAAACAGCTGACAGCGCCCGAAACGTTCTGACGAACCCGAGCGCCGGTCCGACCGGCTGGAAGGCTTCGTCCCTTAGCAGAACAGTCAGCTCTCCTATTGAGATGGTCCCCATTTCAAGGTTGATCCCTGTGTAATACCGGTTGCTTTATATCTTCTATGTAGGGTACCCGAAAAGAGAGAACTGACCACTTGCACATTGAACGCGGTACGTCACGTGCCTGCAATGCTCCAGAAAGCTGCCAGGCAAGCCCTTTTTTTGCCTCATTAGCCTCTGCGTGCGACTTCTGCATTAACTGGTGGCGGACTGCTTGGCTCAACTGCCTGTCATACCATCCACTGACAGAAGCTGCCACATCTCAGGCTGCTGGAGCAGAGCCGTCTCTAGCCGTTGCACTCGGATGGCCAGTGCCTGTCAGGGAAGCCTCCTAGTCAATCCCCCTCCACATGCTGCTAACACTTACGGGCAGACGACTTAGCACAATCAACACGCTGAGTCGTGAACAAGACGATGACGTGGCACAACGCAGCGTGCCTCCAACATCATAAGCATCATCGCCACTGAACATAACTCATCATCCAATAGGGATGGTGCAGCACGCTCTCGCGCGAGCCGTTTACGGACATCACTCAAAATGTCCGGGGCTGCTGTGACCTGTATTCTGTTGGAAGCTACAAGTTGCTGCTGCAGCTCCCGGGTGACCGGGCTGATGTTACCAGCGAAATCTTGCCGCATCAGGTTCATGGCGAGGTCGAAGGCCGCCTGCGTTCTGCGCTTCAACGCCTGCAGCTCTTGCACAAAGTGGTGCGAGGAAAGGAGCACATGCCCGGCTTTCTGGATCACCTCCTGCTCCTGGCTTGACTGCGTCGCCGTGCAGCCAAGGATGGTGAGACATTGCCATGCTTCCGAACAGACGGTCATCACATTTCCCCAGAGATCTGCCCGCCAGGGGGTGCGCCGGAAGCGGGGCTCGCGACTCGCCTCCTGGCCATTTGTCCGAGCCGAGCTCAAAAAAGCTAAGCCGTCGGCCCGAAAACTCTGTACATCTCCCACGTTCCCTGGCTCAAAGCAAGAGAGCGCGTTATCGAACACCAGCACAAATGCCCCCAGGTCTGCTGTTGCCCTGACGCTTAGGGACGTGTCCGTCAGTATGTCCATCAAGGATGCGATGACAATGGCCAGCAGCTGGCTGAGAAGGTTGCGGTAGTTGGTCAAGCTGTCCTGCGTGATGTCGCCACACCTTGCCAGCGCGTGCTCAGCAAAGAAGCAAGCCACCAGCAAGCCACAGTAGCTGAAGTTCGGCGAACCGAAATAACAGTAGAACGACGCAAACTCGACAAACAAGTACACGGGCAGAGAAAGCTGCGAAATCAATGCATTTTGCAAGTAGTTGGCGAAGGCGCATGAGCTGCCGAGAGTGAGCTGACCCAGCATTGTTCCAAGCCCCACGCCCAAGAATCTATCCGTGTTCTTCTTCAGGGCTGCTGCCTCGTTGCCACCTTGGAATATCAAGTAGGCGACCGTACCCGCGGGCGTGGCATTGTAGGCCGGCACAAACTTCTTGACCGAGCCAAGCCCAACCCTCCCGAGCACGAAGCAAAGCACAAACGTGACAAAGACCTTCCAAGTGTCTCGGTGGTAAGAAGTGGACCTCAAATCCTTCCTAGTGGGTGGCAAGGCCCGCAGACCGACCAAGAAGGTCCACAACAGGCTCTCGGATGCAGGAAGATCCTCCTCCAACAACGCGGAGAGGTGGTCGGCGATGGCCCGGCTGTAGCCACTCATGGAGGCAGCCAGAGCCAACTCCGGGAGGTGATCGGGCTTAAAGGTCTGCAGCAGCGGAGATGTGGAGACGTGAGCTCTGAACCGCGCAGCGAGGCGGGCTTGGGCTCCATTAAGGGTCTCGATGGCTGAGCACAAAGCATCCGATTCATCCAAGCACCCACTCACCGCCACATACGCAGAGAGATGAAGGCAGACCTTGGATGCACGGGCAAGCTCTTCCAGCTCTGGCAAGACGGCCTCAAATATGTGGTGGTTCATGGCCACTGATTCGGAGTGCTGCACGCTCATAATAATGGCTTCCAGCCAGTCATTGAAAACATCAAAAGCATCGCAAATCTGGATCAGCATCAGTCTTGACCGCCCTGCTCTTCCCCAACCGAAACATTCCCACCAGCTGTTATCGAGCCAGGCCTTCGCTTTCAGGATTTGCTGGTGCACGCCACGCACTTCTGCCGCAAAAACCACCGAAGTCTGAGAATCCATGCTCACCCCCCTGAGGGCGACAAGGTGCTCAATCAGCTTGCTCTGAGACCAGGCCACCTCGAGTGTGGCATCTTGTGCCATCTTGAGCGCAGAGATACACGTGGGCAGAATGGAGATGAAGACTGCAAACACGCAGCCCCAGATGGTTCCCATCAGGGCTCCCGTTTCTGCGCCCTTCAGCAACACGTCCTTTGGGGCCCGGCTGAAGAAGGTAGTGTCCTCCGGATTGATGAAGCACATGGTGAAATAGGCTTGCCAAGACAGGGCAAACATCTTGGCGTTGGTGGCGAAGTTGAAGGCCACGGTGATCAAGACCACCAGGAAAAAGTTCACATAGCCAAAGATGTATGCCCAATCAGGATCCCACTGGTCCACAGTGACCTTCACTCCATCCGGGAAGAGCCCAAACATCAGCCAGCAGTTCACAACCGGCAAAAGCGTGCCGTAGAAGCCGGTCCAGGCCAGGTAGTTCGTCGTTCCCAAATCCAAGTAGAAAGTGAAGGCCAGGATCACGACAACGTAGCTCATCTCCCAGCCCTGCTCTTGCCACCACGAGAGCCACTCGAAGTAGTAGGTGGCGGCACAAAAAAGTGCAACCAGGGAGCCTCTTAGGGCCAGGTCGGCATTGAAAGCAAAACTGCCTCCGTAGAAGTCCGCCTTAAAGAGGACCCTCTGTACAAAGCCAGGATTGGCGGAGGGCTTCTCCAGCAAGGGATCCAGAAGCTCTGAGTGCGAAGCAGCCTCGCTTTCACTATCACTAGATTCCTCGACACGTTGGAAGCCTCGCCTCCTCGTCTGGAGCTCGACTGCTGCGACCGACGCGAAGAAACACGCCAAGCAAGCCGCGACGCAACTCCCCAGTACAATCCAAAAGTCGCGCGAAGCGCCCAAGAACCAGCCGCCTTCTTCCAGTTTGGAAGCTGCATGATCCCGCGTGAGCCGACCAAGATCTGCATGCACGGAATTAGTAGCCGGCATGGCACCCAGACAGTCTACAGCTGTGCTTCTTTGGCCTACAGCATGCCACGGTCACTGCCAGAGCCTCCCGGCAAGGAACAAAAGAGTGTGCGCATGCCCTGCTGATCATGTTCAGACTCAGCACGATCACAGCGATTCTTTCTTAAGTGCCGCTTGCGCGTCAAAAGCTTGAAGCCTCGGGCCCCGCCATGACCAAAGGGTCTCCTGGGATCTGGCCTCTTTTGGACTCAAGTCTCGCAGAGCCGCCTTCAGATCACTCGGGAGGACATGCCAGGCGCTACGCCCCGCCCCGGCTGCATCCAGAAACGACAGGTGATACCGGTGAAGAAAATTCCGCGTGCAGAACTGCGCGTCCTCCAGTGCAGTTGCTCTGGCAGCATACTTGCCGTCGTGCACTGTGGGGTGCCCAACCCATGCCATGTGGCTTCGAATTTGGTGCTTGCGGCCCGTCAAGATTTGTATGGCCGTCAAGCTCATCGCCCTCCGCATAAGCCTGGCATGTGCCACGACTTTCAGACGTGTCTTCGACGGTTTGCCCAGATGCCCTGAGGAAACAGCATTGGCAACATAGCACAAGCGAACAGATATGCTCCGCCGGACAGCTGGAACCCAACCATGGCAAAGCACCACGTACTCCCGCAGAAGGGAACCGCTCACCAACTGCATCTGCAGATCATACCACGCTTGATAAGTCGTGGCTGCCAACACTAACCCAGAACTAGGAACGTCCAAGCGGTGGAGGAACCCGCATCCATGCACAACATCGCCGAGTATTGGGACCGTGCCGCGATTCAAACTTCGGAGGAAATCCGTCAACTGACACTCCACCATGCCATTGTAGACTTCCCATCCAGGCGGCTTGAAAATGACCAGCATGTCAGACATGTCAAGAATGACAGCCGGGTCCGTCAGCGCGGCTTTCACAAACACTTCGCTTGCGCTGGCTCGCCGTTGTCGCAGAATCGAAGTGCCCGTCTCTTGGTCCAACTGCACAGAACCCTCACAGATAACCCGTCTCGAGTGAGCCAGCAGCCGGTCTCCTAGCAGACCTGCAAAGTTCCAGGCCCAAACGATGCCCAGGATTGTTTCGGCCAAGCGAACCCAGCCTTGAACTTCGCGGTCTTCTTCCCTTTGTTGAAGAATTTGAGTTGCGGCCGCTTCCTGCACTTGCAGGCAGAGGGCTGCCGCGGGAAGGTCGGTGGACCCCCAAGATAACAGCAAGAGATCGTCCAGACGACAGCTGCGCAGCTTGGTGAGGAGGATTTCGTAGAAGTCTTCCAAGCACTTTCCCGGAACTCCGAGAAGCGAGAAAGCCCAGGTCAGAAGAGACAGCTCTTGGGCGGACGCGCTTGCGCAAGCCAAGCGACCTGGGACTGCGTGCGGAGTGCTCTCTTATGCAGGATAGCATAGACAAAAAAACTCATAATGTCGCAGGCTTGCAGAATATCATACAGCTTAACATCGTGACTTGTTTTCGAGAACTTGCTAAGGCCTTTTTCACATAATTCAATAGTTCTTTTGCCGTACATACTTCATTGTGAAAACACTCTATGTCCTCTTGTTGTATATAACAAGTTGGAGCAGAATGGGCATGGCTGAGCATCGTCACAAGGCTCGGCGGGCCTTGCCGCTCTTGCAACCAAGCTACGCAGAGTCTGCACAAAGCATGCATGCACCACTCGGGGGTCGGCAATCTGGAGCCTAGGCGCAGATTCTGACAACGTGCCTGATAAAACGTGCTAGGGCTGTGGGGATCTCTATATATCTCTATCTTGTAAAGCTGCAGTTCAGGAGCCTGGCCAGAGCCCAGGGCAGCGAAGAGATGGATCGCAAAGATTCCCCTTTCTCTGCCAGAAGCACGAGATCCCACGCCTGCTGCACCTGCCCTGCACTTCCACATGCATCAATGGATGCATTGAAACCTCGGACCCGCGTCTTGCAAGTGGTTAGTGGGAGTTAAGGTACGGCAACTAGGAAAGTCATCCAAAGTCCTACTGTAGGGTCATACTCACACAGCGAAGGTGCAAGCATCGTCGGGTTCCAAATTGGCTTCTGGCATAGCATTCAGCAGCTTCAAAGTTAGCTTCCACTGGGAACTTTTCTCGCACGCGCTGATGGCAGCTGTGCAGCCAAAAACGTCAGCGACGCAGCGATCGTTGTGCAAGACCTCCACCGCATGCTGCCATTTCTCGGCCTTGTCGCATGCGTTGAGGATGCTGTTCCATGCAGTCACGTCGATGTCAAGCCGCGATGCCAGTGAACCTTTGAATGCACGGCGAAGAATACACGTGGCAACGAAACACCCCGAAACGCATCGAGCGCTCTTGCAAACGAAGTGCGCATCAGCAGGCTCGCCGCTACATGCCATGCTCCATGCGAGCAGGTGCCCAGCACGGTATTTATGGCCACGTGATTCGGACGAACCTGGAAAAAAGGCAAAGTGCGGAGCATCGCTCAGCAGATGTTTCTCAGCTTGCAGATCGACTGAGCGTCGAACGGACACTGCTAGAGACCTGGCAAGCAAGCCGTTTGCAAGAGCCCAGTTGCCAGTGCCATCACCTGAAGCTGCCCAAGAGCGGGTTGTGGGGAACACCTGGGGGTCGGGTGACTTGTGCAAAAAGCGCAGCCAGGATGCACCCCAGCGTTGCGGCACTGTAGCTCACCACATCCTGCCGCAGGAGCTTGCCAGCCTCAGGAGCTCTTAGGGGAGGAACAGCCCAAGAGTCACAGAGAGGTTCGATCTTGGGACGCAGCCATGTAGTCCAACAAGTTCATTGCCCAGCGCCACTTTCCCCGAGTAGCACAGGCACTGATCATGGTATTCACAGCCAGGTTGTCAAGATCTTCGTTTCCGCCGGACCTTGAACCGAGTCATGGATCCATACACATTAGCAAGCTCCAGCGACCCGTCAAGCACATGGTGCAAAAAGAGCGTCCATGCCAGGCCGTTCATGGACATCCGCCAATGCATTCTCAGAGAATGAAGGCCGGCATTGAAGCTGCCGCGGTCCGGGTGGCACCTGCGCACGATTCGCTGCTCTCTGACTGCCTGGATGGCATCTGACACCCTCTCTGGACCCTGTTCTGGGCGAAGCCTCCAAAGCATCATCGCGTGCAGTAGATTCACGGCACGTTGCCACGGCTCGCATGCGCGGATTGCAGCGTTTAAACCAATGGCCCCCTGCACTCAAGATGGAGGCATACCTGACGACCAAGTGACCCAAGTGCTGGTAGGTAGCAAGCTGCAGATCCGCTCGCCAGGCAAAGTTCCTCACTTCATTGGGCCGATTGCAAGGGAAGAGCACTGCTGCTGCGCAACATACCGCACAATGCATCCACGGCGCAGAAGTTGAAGGCTGAGCTTCCATGGGCCTGTCCTCATGGCTCGAGTGGCTCGAGGTTGCGGCGTCATTGGAATGCACCCAGAACATGCCCCCAGCGCAAAAGTCGCTGCTAAGTCCAGCCAGGGTCTCCGGCCCGCACTCAGCAACGCAGTGCAAGCTTGTGCATTTGGCATGGTCCCCGCCGTCATCATGTCCCCTCAGAATGTGGCTAAAATTGGCCAAAGACCCCTTCTGGCTCCACAGTGTGCCGCACAGAAAACTGACAAAGCTCCACATCAGCTCAGAGTCGTAGAACGGTTGCCGCGTTTGGCCATTGGCTCGCCTTTTCCAGGACGTTGATGACTGCACTGTAGCCTTACTCTGCGGTGAGTCTCTCGCTGATCACTATTCGTGCGCTCAAGCCGCTCGGATCCAATCAGGAGGCTCACCGCATCTCTTCTCACGCCCATCCGCGCCATACCCCACAGCCAATCGACCGCCAACTGCCAGTCATTCCGTGAGAGTATAGCATTTGCATGATACCTCAGTGAACGGACGAATCCCACATCACACGCCATGATACCCCCAAGACATCTGAACCGATCCGACTCTTCGGGCAAGCTGCACATTTACCTCCACGCTGTCCTCCACGAGCCGGCACAGGAACTGGCACAAGATTCCCACTTGTGGCCCCCAGATGACCCCATCCTGGCTCCCCATGGAGCTTGATGCTGATAACCCTAAACCCTAAATCCTAAACCCTAAACCCTAAACCCTGATAAGAAAGCAGAAGGCAGCGAAGGCACCTGAATCGCGGAGGCCGCACCATGCTTCTTGGCATGGTTGCACAAGGAAGCCGTCAAGAGCCGCGGGTTCCTGAGGCTCCGTACAATGTCTTGGGTGCTGCGTAATGGCGCTACGACTTCTCCGACTTCTCTGAACGTGCCGGGCGCGAGGCCCCTCAAATTCCGGAGGATGGCGCGGCTCGGGCAGCATTGGGCCATGGTCACGTCACCAAGCTCCCGTGCACAGCTTGGGGGCCCACTTGAGCCTAACGCCCTAGTCGAGAGTGATTGCTGCTCTAGTTCTCTAACATGACTTCGAGCTTCAAGTCAAGTCAGCAATGTAGCCGATAAGGGACTTGGGTCTGAGGAGCATGCAGCTGCTTCTTGTCCTTCTCGTGAAACCTGGGCCGAGTCGATATGGGGCTTTCCGATATTGGGGGTACCTTTTTGGGGGGGTTCCCTTCAAGGGGATTCTATTCTATTTGGGGTATCAAAGGGGCACCCCTATTTGGGAAACAACCATGTTCCCTGTCTATGCAACCAGCGTAAAGCACAGCATGTGGCCCTCAACTCGGCATCGGGCCACTCGGCAGCTGTTTGGAATTCCTTCTTGACCTTTGGGGTTTAGGGTTTAGGGTTCAGGGTTTAGGGTTTAGGGTTTAGGGTTAGGGTTTAGGATTTGGGGAACGCACTTGAGTTGCCATGGTTGCCAAGAGGGCTTTCGCATCAGGGCAAAACCCTCGCAGAGAGTAGGCAGCTGGCGAAGATGCCAACATTGAACTCGGGGAGCTGCCTCTCGTTCCCTTCCTTCCGAAGAAGAGAAATTGGCATGAAGGCGTCCCTTTCGGGTTCGGGGCTCGGGGTGTGCGGAACAAGGGTTGTTCTTTTCCACAATGGAGGTGGATCTCAATGATGGGCCGCAGGTGGCAGCCTACACTAGAAGAAGTACACTCTAGTAAACCCCAAAACCCATGATTTCGAGCAAAACCCCTGGTTGCTGTCAGATGCTTGAGGCGCTCCGGGGGCGACCGTTTTGGAGCTTTGGACTTGCGCAGCAGGGCTTTGGATGCGCCTCACGTGCCGCGGGCTCAGCCCATGGAACTGGAGACAAAGCCATAATTACCTGAGGGTTGATCCACCTCCTGGGCCCTGCTCGGGCCTTCGGATGTCTCCAAACCCTAAACCCTCAACCTAAACCCCTAGACCCTGAACCCTGAACCCTAAACCCTAATGACCCATTATTTTTGGATCAACCCCCATTTGAGAGAACGGGGCCCATGGTTCCTCCCCGGAGGCTCGAAGATCCTCCTGGAGGTCCAAGTGGCCTTGATGGAACTGGGCTTAGGGTTTAGGGTTTAGGGTTTAGGGTTTCGGGTTTCGGGTTTAGGGTTTAGGGTTTTAAGGTTTAGGGTGACAGGCGCCGGTTCTCTGGCCTCAAGCCAAGAGGCACCCATCTTATGGATCCAAACCCTCCCCTACCCCCAACTTCCCAAGATGCGGAGACCGGATCCGCAGGGAGCGTCGGCGGCGCTTGTAATCTGGGAGGTGAAACACATCTCTCCTTTGGAGAACTGCAGAGGCAAACTTTGGCTCGCTCTTAAGAGGTACATCGTCACACATGGAGTGCAGCACATCAAGCTTCGCAGGCATGAATGCAGAAAGCCTAACTCCAAAGGCCAAGCAAGAAAAGTGACAAAAGTAAATGGGTTGATGCACTGCCAGACGCTGCGAAACCTCCGCGCACAGAAGAATCAATCTCGGATGGGCGTGAGCTGCTTCAGCTTCTCACCGCCGGAAGATTCTCACAAAACACTTGCGGTGGTGGCTCTCCTGACACAAGCAGATGCGAGGCTGCCAAGCAGATGGGTCAAGGTTTGTTCAACCGAGGCTGCGGCATGGACAGTGTCGTTTCAGATCGTGGGGTCCCTGACAAGTCACTGAACTGTTTAAGACCTGATGACACGTAGGACGATTACCTTGCAAGTCGGCATCTGCTTCCCAGATCTTCCCTGCTGGCGCATGCCATTGTACCATGCAGCGTTTCAAGTCTTTTTGTCTGCCGAGTCCATGTCTCAATGCCTAGGGAAGTGACACGGAAGTGCCAGCAGTGAAACATCTTCACATGTCTCCACTTTTACAGCGCTTTTGCCGGTGCGAACAGAGACTTCAGCATGGCATCGCAGGCATGTTGACTGAGTGGCTCCACATCCTCCAATCCTGCAGTCTTTTGGCCGTTGAAAGCTCCACGCGGCCGACCCGTCATAAAGTTCTGCAGCTTCTCGATGGGCCTGTAGCGAATTTTCCGGCCCTTGGAGGCACGACGCTCAACGTCAGCTCGTGCCTTCCTCTTGGCAGCCCGTCGACCTTGCACCTCTGCATAGAGCTCTTTGTCTTCGGCACTCTGGCTGAGCGCCCCGCCGGCGTTGCTGGAGAGCACTTCACGCAACAGTTGCACATAGAAATCTCGGTCGTCAAAGATGTTTCCAACACTGGCATCTGCACTTTCAGGGGCCGCGCCTCCTGCAACCGGATCGCCTGCCTCAGGCACAGCTTTCACAGACTTTCCGAAGACAGCATGTTTGCCAGGAGGAGGAGTGCAACGCTTTCGCAGCTTCTCCGGCTCGGCATCAGAGACTGCCTGCATCTGAAGGCGGAGCGACTGATCGAGCATCTTAAAGGAGCGCCTGGCATCCAAACGCGTGTGCTCCTTCCACTCGTCTGCAATGTTCAGAGCCCAGTCCAAGGTTGCTTGAAGCCTCTCATCGGTCATCTGCCAGACTTTGTCTTCTAGACGAACTCCATTGACGTCTTGGCCAAGATCGGTTGATATGCCAGGGCACTGGTGTTTGATCATCTGCTCCTGGAGTGACATGAGGGAACCCAGGAACTGGTTGACCTCGGAGGCCGCGGCACTTGATTGCGCCACCATTCGACTGTCAGCAGCGTCGAAGAGACCGGCGACAATCCCGCTTGGCAGCCTGTGGCCTAGCGACAGAGCCCCCTCCAAGTGGATTCGCAGCTCGACAAGCGCACCCCACATCTCAATCTGCCGCTTTAGGTCCTTTGCATTCTCTTCCTTCTGCGCGATGTCTGCGCTGGAAGGCTGCCGCATCACTGCCATCTCCCGTTCTGACTGCATCAGCTTCGAGTACTCTTTTTCGATGTCGCCAGAAATGCTAAAGGCAGATGCTTCCGCGACATCATCGACTTCATCCGCATCATCCGAGTCTCTGGCCAAGCGCTCGCGCAGGCGATCGTACCCTTGCGGCTGCTTCTCTTCGCGGCCGAAGACGTCCTCCCTGCTCACAGCTTTTCCCTCATAGCCTTCCACAACCGGAACCCCGGGTCGCAGGCGCAGGCGGCCCTTCTGAGACGGCAAGGAGATGTCGGAGAGAGCCTTGCCCTTTCCATGGGATCGTCGGGCTGTGGTGTGGTCGCCGAGGGTGTCCGCCTCCGCTGGGTCGGGATCGTCGCTGTCCAGGTCCATGGCCGGCTCAGGACAAATTGAGACTTTGGACTACTTTGGGATACATTGACGCCCCTTTCTTTACTTTCAAGCGTGCGGGCTTGTGTGGCTTTTTTAAAGTTCAAGAGTTCAGGAGCTGACATTCCAAGCTCTACGCTCGGAAAACGCGCGTCGGTCTTGCGATCCTTCTCTCTCTTCCCCTCTGCCAAGTAGCTGAGCATGTCCACAGCCAGCACACACCAGCAAACACAGCAGCGGAAGTGCCTAGCAGGTATCGGACGCTTGCGTCCGGCGACTGTGGCTGCGATAACGGCTTTCCGTAAAAGGAAGATCTCAGCTCCACCAGGGAGCGCTGAGTTTGTCGCACCTCCGCAAGTGAATTACACTGAGTTGAGTGCACAGAGGCCCTCTATAGGCCCTCTACGTCTTCCCCATGGCTTCCTCCATCGTACCCCAATGCATCGAAGCTGCCAAGCGCAAACACTGATGCATGTCAACGGCTGTAGCGGAACCGCGGTATTTCAGACAACCACGAAGAAACTCCTCCACACCTTGGGAGGTAGGGAGACATATTTCTGCACTGGCAACGCGATACCATCTTGCACTGCGGCCAGAAAGTGTCTCCTTGCAGACAGGAGAGCTGATCGCACCGTCCTTGTCCTTGTCCAGCAAGGTGATAAACCGTGCTGCCTGGGGACTTGCAGAAGGAGCTCAGAAACATCGCAGGCTTACCGTCGAGATTCTCCCAGGGCAAGTTGGCACCAAACCGAGTCACATTAATGCCGCTTCTGCTGACAAGCTGCATCATCAATCTCAAACCCAAGTACTCGAAAGTATGCTGATAGCGTCGGGTCTTTGAGCATCTCCTGTGCCAGATGATGCATCTCTTGAGTTTGTACTGGCCCAAAGAAGCGTGCAATGAGCAGCGACAAGCATGAGAGGCATTGTGGCTCAGGCCCCCACCGCCAATTCCTCCGGGGTGACATCTCCTGAGTCGTCCTGAATCAGGGTTTCGGGTTTAGGGTTTCGCCACCCGCACTAGGGTTTAGGGTTTAGGGGGTTGGGTTTAGGGTTTAGGGTTTCGGGTTTATGTAGGGTTAAGGGTGTAGGGTTTAGGGTTTAGGGTTTAGGGTTGAGGGTTGAGGGTTGAGGGTTGAGGGTTTAGGGTTTAGGGTTTAGGCACTGTGTGGCACAACGTTGGCCCAAGAATCGTCACGGCATCTGCCGCAACCCTGACCCAAGCAGGAGTCCTGATCCATGGCTGCGAAGAAGTCACGTATCTGCTGCACAAACTGCTCCTGCCTGAGATTGAGCAGAAGTGAATAGCAAGTGCATAGCTAGTCCAAAGCAAACATGGACTTGACGAGACTAGGCGTTGCACCGGTCCATCTCTTTCTGTATGGCCTCGGGAATGGTTCTGTCAACCCATAAACATCTTCAACTCACTTACTGTTCACTTCCTATAAGCGCATGACCATGCAGAAGCAACGCAGAATTTGGCTCCACATTAAGGTAGCAGAAGTCCTGACGCAACCGTCATCAATGCAGCCACGCGGCTAAGCTTCGCTGCTTCTCCGCACATCTGAAGGCGTTGTCCACGAAAACACCCGTTACTACCTGGAAGGCGACCGCCATGCACTGCAATGATCTTGTGGCAATGTGTCGAACCTTTTGTCTAAGCGCAGCCTATCTGACCCCGCTCAGTCCAGCAGCATTGAGGACGGCCAGCACAACAAATGCTACGTAGACGAGCAGTAGCCTCGGGCGAGGCTGGGGCAGCCAAGTGGGCGAGCACGTGCCAGACAACGGCAGAACCCCTCACTAAGCTTGCAGCGAGACCGGGAACCACCCAACCTGCTGCGGCAGCGCTCTTCTGGGCAAAGGGTCTCAAGAAGCCACTACGTGTACAGGACAGGCTGGCCTTCATGAGAGGCGTGCAAACCTCATGCCAGCTTCTGCCTCCAAGCACCTCAGACCCCCCATCAATTCATTGGATTCTTGCTTTACAGCTTGACAAACTAAACCCTAAACCCTAAACCCTAAACCCTAAACCCCCCTTGAGATGTTGAGGCCAGGCGCAGCCAGGACCAGCGTGTAGATGGTGTTTGGCAGAGATCCTTATGCGCTCCGCTCAATGCAAGCTACGAAGTTCTGGCCAGGGCGAGGGCGCTCTTGGGGAAACTGGGGCTCTTGGTATACAAGGGGTATAGGGCCTTGAGGGCTCCTTCTTGGGGTTCCTCCTCGTGTCCCTTAACGATCTCGCAAGGTCAGCCAGGGCGCCATAGGCACTCTCCAGCACTCGGATGTAGGCATCTTGGTGTTCCGCGGCAATCTCTTGCCAATCCTTCATGCCACATTCTGCGCGACAAACTGAACAAGCTCAGGCATGCTCTCCTCGAAAAGATCAAACCGTAAGATCATGGTCATAATGTGACAACTGATGACCCTAATAAGAACCAAAATATGGCAATATGACCGGTCATAAGAACAACAATGAACCCTAGTACTAATCATAGTAACCAGGGTAGTACTGCATGAGGGCATCGGCGCCAGGATTGCCCAGAAATGGGAGCAGCCAGGATGACACCTTGACATGGGCCCAGCTCGCACTTCCCAACCTCTGCCCCTCCAGGAATGCTCCGCAGCTATGACCCTTTGTGTAAGGCTCGGGCATTTGCAGTCAAGAATATGGCCTTAAGCTTGCAAGCTCGAGTTGGGAAACTTTACAGAATCGAAGCCACCGATTTCTGAGCCCTCGACGAAAACGTAGATGATGATGGCCAAGAGGACCAAGGCCCAAATCAGGGACTTTATGGAGTCCTCGGCGCAGATGGCCAAGAGCTCGAACCGTTGAACCTTCCTAAGCCCTGCAGCCACGCGGCCGTGATCATCAGCGCCAGCTGTGTCAACTGCCGGAAGAAGCGAAAGACCCTGAAGACTCCTGGACAGTTGCCAGGATCTGAAGGCGTCGAAGCTACAGATCGCAACTTCTCAACTTTCCGACCAAGCAGCTGATGATGCGGAGGGTTTTCAACATCTTCACCGTGTCGAATCCACCAGCGCCAGCACCCATGAATCCTTGTTTTCTTAAGCAAGTGCCGGAGACCAAATGAACCCGATTCCAGTACCATTTATGCTAGCCAAGCCCGCGAATGTCTGTTAGAGTCTGTCAAGCGTCTCACAACAACGAAGTCAATGAGCGACATGGCGACCAGGACAAGGTCGAAGAAGTTCCTTAGATCACTCGCGCAATCATATGCAGCGAAGGGCTAGCCGCACGCTTCCACCACTGACACCGGATGCCTCCCCTGATAAACTCCGCCTGACTCCTAACCTCACATTGATCCATCCCCGTAGTCGGTTGCGGAATCCTGAAACATCCTGAAACCGACCCTTCGGAAACCCGCAGGAAGCAGTCAGTGCAGCGGTGATTCCACAACCGCATGTCCGGATCCAGAAACCAGCTGGCCTGCCCGTGGGCGGTTTCGTGAACCCGATCCAGCAGCCCACGCAGCCCATGCTCGACACCGATACTTCCAGCTTGGAGCCGGGCCCGGTGGGCCCCGATCCGCAGCGTCAGCTCCTGTGGATCTTGGGAGTCTCTACTTGACCATCTTTTGGCCATCTTTGGCCAAAGCCTCTCTGAGTCTCTCTACGTTGCTCAAGGCGAGGCACGATCATGAAGTAAACGGTGCAGAGTTGGCTCACAAGCTCGACCCCTCGGCAGCGCGAAATCATCTGGATCTGACTGTCCCACTCATGTCGGCCATGTAGGCGCTTAAAGCAGTGGAGGGGCCGGTGGGCAAAGTCAAGTCCCACGCCGCATACTGCCTGCAAGTGTGGGTGCGGATGCCTCTGGACAATGACCAGTCTAAGGCGATCCTAAACACTGACCTCTCCATCTAAGTGCAGCCAGCCGCGTCTCAGCACCAATGCTCGCGGCATTCAAGACAATGACCAAGGCAGTTAAGGCATCAAAGAGAGGATGCGTCACCTGAAGCATATAAAACCAACATGAGCTCATAAGCAACGACAACGTACTTGCAGGTTTCTCTGCGCATGTCAGCCGGGAAACAGCCAGCCCTCTGAGTGCGGAGCAACACTGACGAGGCGCTGCCGATCGAACCAAGCTGGCCGTCCTTCTAACTCCTTGCAGAACTCAAGGCTAGGAAAGCCATGTCGAGTACAAAGGACAAATCTGGAGAGCATGGAAAGCATAGCCTCATCGCGGTCATCAACATAGTGGTCGGCCGCAAAGGTTTTCTGACGATAGCACGTGGGCTTGAAGTGAATCTAAAACAGCGGGCCACAATGGCTTGACAAGAGTGTCGACTTCCCGAAAGCATGCGTGCCTGGTTGAGTTGCTTGCGCAGCCTGGCCGAGAAAGGTCCGCTCTGTTCGACAGGGTCGTACGGCCCATCCGTTGCACCCAATGTGCCATGCTGAAGGCTGAACCTCCGGCCTCAGTGTCTGCGACTTGACCTTTGCCTGCGATGGATGCTGTGGGCCCTTGAGAACTCGCGAGATGGCTGTACCTTGGCAATTTCTCCCAATGGGCAGAGAGGGAATCTGTGTCGGTTTTGACTCCAACAGAAGCTAGGCCGGTGGCTCATTCGCAGCTTCGTTTTGGATGCCGATTTGGACAGACCTGATGCAGAGGGCATGTCACAGACAGCCCCCAACATCGCCAGAGCAGCATGGTCCCCAGGTTCGAGGAATGAGGCTGCGACGAGGCTTTTCTTCTCCCTGCTCACCTTCCTGCATGATCATAGGTACACATCGTGTGCACAGCCTGAACCTTGATTTTTCAGGTGTGACCGGCCTCCTCCGGTTTGGCCTCCGGTTTGGCCTCCGGCTTGCTTTCCGGGCGAGGTGAGCCTAAGATGCTCGGATTATCTCGGATCCAAGTGGCCAGACATTCAGAACAGCTGGTTCACTTGGTACCCAGCCACCTCCCTGCACATCCTCTGTCGGAATTGCATCCAATTCCTCAGTGCACAGCTGAGCTCAGTGCACAGCTGAGGTCGAGCCTAACGTGAACGTGTGGAGGCCAGGCCTTAGGACGGGGTCGACTCTGTTGAGCCTGCGAGGCGTAGGACTGGATTTTGTTTGGCAAGTACAGCCGCGCTCCATTCCTAACTCGGAACTTCTAGAAGCCAGACGTCGAGGAATGTGGCGGGTGCCTCGAGTCTCTGCACTGCTGCCTGCCAGGGGCTGCACACTCCAGGGTACTGGCACCCCGCATAGCCATCAAAAGTGGCGGCCTCAAAGTGCTGCTGAAGCTCCCTGACCTGCTCTGCGTGAGTGGCCTCAAAATTCACTCACTTCTCCCTCGTCTTGCTCACCATATGCACCATACTTAGACATGGACACTGCCTTCCTATATGGCGACTGGGGCAAAGCAAACCGCACAGGCCGTGCCACTCCTGGGATTCTGGCAGCAAGCTGCAGCAAAGCCGTTTCCAGCCCACGACTTTCCTTGCAGCAAAGGCAAGTACACAGCGCGCTGCTCTACTACTGCTCTGGTGGTAAAGACCCCGCCCATGGCCCCTGGCCTGCGAAGAGGTCCTGGCCGCTCTCTTATCCAAAACTAGCTGAACATTCGCTGTGCAGCACTCTTTCAACAAGTGCACAAGCAAGGAGGCAGCCGACGATGTGGGCACAATGCAGACAGCGGCACCTCTCGTCATCAGCCACGTCGCCCAACGGCCCAGGACTTCGGCTGGCTAACCTGACGACGTCTGACAAGGCCGTCGACGTCCAAATTACCCCACAAAACTCGAATGCAGGGCTGGCAGGCCTCTCGGGCTCAGGAACCGGGCACACTGGCCGAGACAACGTAGGATGCATGCCACGCGACACCTTGGAGTGTTGGCAGAACCAGATTTGGGCCCTCCAGGCTGCCTCCGGGCTGAGCCGAGTATATGCCAAGGCAAAGGCAGAGCGGTCATGGGCTTTCACGATCGGACTCTCGTCGTCTATCATGGCAGAAACTACCAGAGCATCGTGGCTTCGAGTCTTCACAGCATGGCTTGAGCCAGAAAGTTGCCAGAGAAGGTGGCAGCCGCAGGTCCGAAGCGAAATCAATGGAGCACTTGACAAGGTTTCTGGCAAGCAGGAAGGAGGGAAAGTGCATTGGCAATTCCTGGAAGTCACGAGTATTGTGCAATACTGAGCACACACGCGGGAGGGCGTTAGAAGTCCAGCATGGCTTCGCGCCTCGCAATCCCTGTCAGAGGCCAGCTCTGCCAAGTTCCATTGCTTGTTTTCGAGCCTGGACACGCATCGCAGAGGAAGCTCGGTCGTCGCGGCGTCGTCGCGGCAATAAGGTTTCGGCTTAGAATCGTAGAGCTTTGGGATTCAGGGCAAGGTTTGCGAGTGGTGCTGAACATTCACACTGAGCCAGATACTCGGAGCACTTTCGTCTGACCTGCACCAGAAAGAGGCGCCAGCGTGGATGGAGCTCTGCGATGAACACAAGCTGTACAGTGTGCAAATCACCCTCTAGCAACTCAGGGTGTATGTGTGTGTGTGTGATTCCATGCACAGCTTCTGAGGGGTCACAGAAGTTTTGGAAAAACAACATCGAAATGAATGTCATTCAGCATCGGGCCGGCTGGCCTCCGACAGCAAAGGATCCGATCTAGCGAAGCGGAAGGCTGCACGCCTCGAGGTGGCCGAAAGGTCCGACATGCACCCCGAGCACCCTCAAACTCAACTGCAGCCTGCAGCTTTATTCCCGCCTGAGCTCACATCCGTCCTTTCGCGCCTCCAGCACGCTGCCACGCCTTCAAAATCAGATCCCTCCCAACATTTCCCCTGGGATGGATTTGAGATGCTGCTAAACCTCCCTCTGCGATCAACTCAGCTCCGAGCCAGGGTGCGTAAAGGCGGGCCTCTTTGAGGTACTCATACTCCTCCAAAGCACGCAGAGATGCTGCAACCCCGAAGCATGCCAAAATTGTGCAAGGCGCATCGAGGCGCCCGCACGCACCCGTCCCTTTTCTCCGTAAGCTGAGAACAACTGGGAATCGAACAGCCTGGCGCTGCAAGCACTCGCGAATTCCTGTGCAAAGCCTTGCATGAGTCCTCCGCTTGCTGCCACCGGCTTTTGCTAATCAGCTAGTCATTAGCATCGGCAAGACGAGATCGTAAGACGTCTTGCCACCAAATCCTGGCTCGGCCCAAACAAGCGCTGACAGGTCAATCGGCAAGGCATCAAGCCTGACCAGGAAACACTTTGGGAAAGCCAGCTTCGGCCCACAAGAAAGCACTGACCCAGTCTAAACCTACGACTGACACAAGCTTGAAAACCAGGCATGCGCAGCAGAAGCAATAGCTCGACCGTCATAAGTTGAGGATGCACGGGGCCTGAACTTGGAACATCTGACCCGGGGCCTTAGGAGCACAATGCATGCAAGATCAAGGGGGGGCGCAATGCGAAAGGTATGATGCTCAGGGCAACATCTTCGGCAGAGGTGCAACTCCGGCAGGGACCTGAACTGTGACTTGTCGCCCATCCGGGGTGGTCACCATGACGGGAGTGCCTGGGTTAGCCATGTTAAAGAAATCGTGGTTCATGGCATTGACCTTGATGATCATCACGTCTTTTGCCCGCCTGGCGCAGTGCCGGCCGGGCATTGCACTTGAAAGACGGTCGGCGTGGGCACCTCAGCAAGAGCCAGCACCAACTCCTTGCAACTCCAGCAAGAATGCGAAGGCAGCCGGGGGGAATGCCACTGCTGCAACAGGCATCGCGACAGGCTGGGCCATCATGGCTGCAGGCTGCACCTCAGTATGGTATGGCTCAACGACTGCTCGAGTTCGATCTACCAGGGACATCCTGGAACCCATGTTCGATGTGCAGGCAGTCTGGACTTGAGCACCGTTTTCTTTTGGCCGAGTCACTGTCGCGGCGTTCATCCTCGGGGCACGGGTGCATGCAGCCAGCAATCACAGCAACAAACACGAACAGCTTCATGACTTCGGCCTCGGGACCGAAACGAACACTCATGTTTCACCTGCTTTAGTAGGGGCCCTGAATAGACTCAAGTTTGCCGGGCTTTCCAGGACCCTGTGACTGTTTGTGAGGGTCGTTCCCGGGACGCGACATCTTCTTGAGAACTTAGGGTTCGTTCTGAAGCCCACTTCAAACAGATGCCCTGACTGACCTCTGGGGGTTAAAGGCCGGGTCTTTGGATCTTGAAGGCCGGCCTTCTTTCCACGACTCCGAAAACCTGGAACTCCAGCTGACAGCAAACCAAGATATCCTTTTGAAAAGCCATGTGAAAAGTTGCCTCGATCAGCAATGGGGTGGTCAGTGGTCCAAGAGCCAGCCTGACCTCCCCATTGTGGGCACTGTTTTGGGACAGGCTTGAATGTCCTGGCCTCGGGCTTCGGCTCTGAACTTCGATGTCCTGGCCTCTTAGCTTAGAGTCTTAGAGGCCAGGTTCTCGAAACCTTATAGTGAGGGATCTGTGGATGGGATTTCAAAGGCCTGGCCTCTTGGCTTCAAGGGAGAGAAACCGGAAAGCATTCTAAGGCCTTCAGCCCCTCTTCTTATCGGACCCCTTCAAAATTTACAATGAGTTTACAGTAGAATCATGTCGCACCCCGTGGACTGTTTAAAGAGGGTCAAATCAACTTCAACTGAATCCAGACGCGACGGACACGAAGACTAACCGAGTCAAGCGTCTCCACTTGCTGCACCTCGGGCTGCCTCGCACTCCTTCGGCGCACCTTTGAAAGAACTCGGATTTGGGGTTTGGTCAGCAAGAGCAGACAACCTCACACTGCCTCACACGACACTTTACGTCTCAGACCTTCCTGCGCGCAACCGGCAAACTACATCTTACATGCAAGCTGGGCCACTCCTTTTTGACCCTGCTGGTTGCAGCCGAAGACAATGACGGCCACAAAGAGGGCCACCGAGACGGTAAGCAGGATGGCGCCGGTGACAGGCCTGCCATGACGAGATCATGCCGAAGGCTTTGCCGCAAGAAGCAAGAGGTCTCACTCTGCGCGCCTGAAAGCGAGCCAGGCCACAGCCATGGCCAGCAAGCCGCAGGCTAAGCCCAGAGAGCAGCTCACCATACAAACCAGGCAGGTCACCAGCCTGAGGAGAAAGAAGAGGAGACTGCTATGCCATGGACTTTTCAGATTTCAAGCACTCTGTCTACAAGTCTGGCGGACAAAAAAAATAAATTTAAAAAAAAAAAAAAGCTCTCAGGCGCAGCTGAGCCACGTCTCCACGAAGTCTGCAAGAAACCCCAGGACTCCACCGATGCACGGGATGCCTTTCAGCGTGTCTCCAAACCTGGGCAAGTCAAAGACCGCCCTGAGGACCGCGCGACCCCGACCCTCCGCAGGAAGGCCCCAAGTACAGGTGCATTCGAGTTATGAGCGATGCACATCTACGAGTGGGCATGCCGATCATGCAGCCATGGTGCTTGTCAACCACCCATATCAACGGAGAAAGGAAACCTGAGCGGCGCTGCATCCGCAAGCACAGCAAGATCGGACCCATGAAGAGGTTTGTACTCCGTGTGCAGCACAGACTCAATAAAAGGCAGCCCAGAGAATCAGCGGACCAACAACTCTTCCAAAATACAGCGCGTTCCTTGGCACGTAGCAAATGGATCACAGTCCTCTCCCTAGCTGGCAACTCAAACCGTGAACATGTTGCAAGTTTAGCTCAAAGGCTCAAAATTTCTCAAGGGCCAATAACTGACAGTTCTGATTGCACCCGAAAAACACATTGTATGACTTTTCCTCGTCGACCAACTGCTTCAGAGAGAGGAGCTTGTTCTGACATGCGGGCAGTTCTCTAAAGTAGGGTCTCTTTCTGGTTTCTGGGTCCTGTATATTGGTAAATAATACGGCACCTTTAAAAAAGGACAGAGCTTGAACCCTGCCCGTCCTTGCGCAGGACATATCCTTGCGTTTGGGACCGGAGCTCTGTCTTTGCACGCAGGTGCGTATCAGACAAGACCAGCGAAAGACCTCGATTTCATGTGCAGACTGTTCCATACGATGATAGTTACTGTCCGCTGCTACCTCTAGGACGCAGAGCACGTGTTGACAGCAACCATCAGGTACTATCAAGTCAAGGCACTGCTGCCAACCTTCTTGACCCCTGCCAGCACGGAGACCTGGTTGACGTCCGATCCTCGGCAGCAAGAAAAGGATTGCTGACAAGTACGCTCCTTCAGCAATTATTTTGAGTAAGGGGGGGCTAGTTCGGGAGGGGATAGTGAGGGATCCCATGATCACAGCTTCTGCTGCTCTGCTGTGTCGCCCTCGTGTGTCATGCATGCCGGGAGTCTCGAGAAACACACTCGCAGGTCTCCCGGCAGCGGCTCATTCGAGTTTGGTGGCACGCTTTCCTGGGCAAGGCATGGCAAGGCAATGGCCCAACATCTATATATGTATACATATACATATATATATATATATACAGATATGTTATTACATATATATATATATATATACACTTGAATGAGAAGACTTGTAAAACCGGTTTTGAAAGCTTTCCGAGACCCACCAGGTTGCAATACAGGTGCGGCCGCTGCTGTACTTGCTTTCACGGTTCGTCCACGCAGCAGAGCGCGTGTAGCTCGTGTATTCCGTCCCAAGTTGCACCTTCTTGGTGCCAGCCTGCACTCGTTGAAGCGGTGCTTTTCCGACATCGCCACCTTCAAAAGCCAAGTTGTGTGTCGCGCGCGAGCTCGCGCTCGCGCTCGAACGATTTGAAAGGGCAGTCATTGCATCTGGCAGTCATTGCAGCTGGTATGAGGAGGCTAGGGCTGGGTGTTGGCCTGATGCCTTTACAATTCTTGCGCGGCCCTTTAGCTTCTTCAGGGCGCAGGGTTTCCTTCCCGACGGCTGTGCATAAGATGTTCTCTGGGGCACCGTTGGAGGCTTTCCCATTCATCTCATCCTGTTGGGTATGAAGGCTTCAGGCTTCATTTGCTAAGTTTGCCATCCAGGGCTTTTTTGGAGGGTCTCGGGTTGATTGCAGGCTTTTGCAGCAGAGCCTGGGCCCTACGCACACAGTTCGACTGACGCACATGACTTGCTCACTTGTTTGGGTTGGGATTGTCCTCATGTCCCTGGAGCTGGTGCAGAGTTACTATAGGCTGAGGGTCTGGGGTTTACGGCTTAGCAACTGACAGCTACTCCTCCAGTGCCTGTCGGCGACAGCGTCGCAGCGGCACTCCTCGGAAAGCTCAAGTGTCTTGCAGATTCGCTGGGCAAGACCCGTGTGTGGAAAAAGGAGTTCAAAGGGCCAAGATGGGCCAAAGTGTCGTAGTGAAGAGGTCATCGCCGCGTTCGGGCTTGAACTCTTGCATCGTGACGCCCCCCAGAGAAACCCCATCAGGTCCACCTTTGACATTGCCTCGAAATCGTGCATTGTGATCACCCCATGTCTTGCTCACGACTTGACCGATGTGAGAAGCCAGGCTGCTGTAAGATCCTGTCAAAGGGAGGCTGGGGATGTTTGCAGCAGGCGCGCCATCCAGCCACTCGACCTGTGCATCCACAAAGTCCGCCCCTAATATGCATCATCGAGCACAGCACATGACGAACGAAAGCATGCAGGCAGCACCTTCGAAAAGACGTTGTCAGGCAACCACATCCAAGTCTCAGTGCGCATTGCCGGTCAGCGTGAAGCTGTCAGCACAGCTGCCACACTTGTTGGGCAGAGGCAGGCACTAGCAGTTCACTAACAGACAACAGGCGGCAAGCGATGCATCCAGGTGTCTGCCGGGCTTGCACGAACGCGCGAGGACCAGGCACTTCTCCAGTGGCGGCAGTCAAAGGAACCTTCTTTCGGTGTGCTCATGGAACTTGCGGCATGCCAAACCTCCCGAATCTGTTTCCTGCACCAGCTTCCTTGAGAATCGCCGGCAGGCAGCATGTAAAGTCACGGTCCCTCTGGTCATCGTCCTTGTCCTTCCTGAGCCTCCGTCCTCAGGCTTGTTCTGTGATGAGCGTTTTCTTATCACACACACACACACACACACACACACACACACACACACACAATGTCGCGAAGCCACGAGCTTGCTGGCCCAAGGATCTCTTCTCAAGCTCTGGAAACACATCCTCGGGCCCCCAGGTGAGCCCTATGATCTTGCTCTGACGCTGCAAAGAGGTACAGCATGTTGACAGGGTCATACCGTGTCCCGGACCTCTGTCGATGAATTGTCCGGCCCGCCCTCGATGTCCAGACTCTCCTCCCAGCATTCAATGTTTGGCTGGTGAATCGGACGGTGTCCATTGGCGTCGCTAAGCTATGCGATCAAACCTTGGGGGCGCGGGGGGCAACAGCACCTATGCGCTCCTGAAGGAACATCTCTGCTGCTGACATCTGTCGCGGTTTCGCTGGATGGCACGCACCACCCGTTGTTCTGACAAACGTCGCCTCAAACCTCGGATCGGCCAGGTCTGCTCTGCTACGCAAAGTGCATCAAGCATTCCGGTTACATGAAAGTGCTGCACCAAGAGGCTTGCGGCGGCCGGGCGAGTTGGCCCCTTGGCAACACACACGCCGCTTGTCCTGGGGGGCTGGGCAGCACACACAAGGAGACTTCTGCGGGAAAAACACCATGTCCCCTTACAGAAAAACAAAAACAATGGCTTCTGCCGAGGAAACTGTCCAACCAAGCAATGCTTCAGGCACGGCGCTGCATCGGAAACTTGATATTGCGCTTGGGGGCAGAGGCCCGTCGTCACTGTAACGGTCTGCACACGCAGAGCGGAGTTGCATGGAGTCACGATGCCACATTGCCGCATTGCAAGGCCAACCAGCTGGCCTTCTTGCTGTCGGTATCTTGGTAGAACTGGTACATCTCGACCTCCCTGGAGCTGCATGCCACAGCACGGGAAACGAAAAGGACACACCACTATCAGTTTTCTTACACTCTCCCCCCCCCCCCCCCCCAAAACGCACATCAAGCGAGTTTGTCAGGTTGTTCCTGCGGTGCGTGTGTGGCGTTTGGGGTCGAGAGCTTCGGGGTTAGGTTCGGGGTTTGGGCTCTTGTGGGTTTGGGATGTATTGCGGACCGTTCTGGCTTCAAGCCAACTCCGACCGGGAGTCCGAAGGGATGATAAGTCATCAGATGGACATTTGCAGCATGGCCGTATGGCCGTTACCGAAGGGGGCGACCTGTGCAAGTCTGGTGGCCTACTGACAGCGGCTTCGGTCGAGCACTTCAACGCTTCGAGTTTTCAGTGAGCTTGGGAATCCGAGGGCTGCTACTGCCTCAAGATCCGCTTCTTGAAGCTGCCTGGCATGGGCAAGGGGTTCTCTTTGCAGAAGCAAGACTGTCCCCCTCCCCGACTCTTGGGTTTTGGGAGGAGACATACGGAGACCATGTGATGCCCGGCCCCATTGAGCATAAACAGTTGCAAAAAGCAGGGCTGTGACGTGCTTTTGGCGGGCTCGTGTGCGAAGAAACCGCAACAAGATGCTCTCAACACATCGGGGGATTAAGCGACAACCCAATACTAGATTCATGCTTTCGAGTCAAGCCGCCAAGAGAAGGCTGCAGCAGGCTGGCTTTTGGAAAGGGCTGGGGTGAGCTCCTGGATATTGAAAGCACCCTCCTGTCACAGGGTAGGGTTGCGATGACCCAAAGTGCCACAAAGCAGCAATGTCACCTGCAGAAACATCCTTTAGGTCCTTTAGCAATGTAGCAATTCAATCCCAGACACTTGGATGGACAGACAGCACACTGCACATCATATGAACACGCTGACATCCCCGCCTTCCTAACATCATCCAGTGTTTTGAGGTTGCTGAAAGGGCAGGCCAAGTAGATCTGGGAAGAGCGGACTACGCCCCACACTGTGTTTGAGGTCGTGTTCGTCTGCCAATCACCCCAATCTGTCCACAAAACCCTCTGCGACACACAAACTAAATGGACTAATTAGAGGAATCGCACCGGCAGCCGACACAACATTAGCCAACTCGGCGCGAAAAGCTCTCAAAGCTCCTACAAGCTAACCCAACACGGCGCAAACCGCAGCAAGCTTCTCAAGGCAAGCGGCTAGATCCCCATCCTTCACTTTGGAAAAGTCACAGTCGCTGCACCTCAGCGCATCTGACACTCTAGACCGGGAGGGAGGAACAAGGACAGGCAGTCCGAGCGTGAGACGTTGGATGACCCTTGCAGGGCTCGAGCGCACCCTGAACACACGAAGGCACTTGCGTCCCTGCTGAAAACTGGCAGCTGTAAGCTAAACTCGCGCCTTCTCCGCTGCCTCCAGTACCTGCAGCTTGTGCTAACCCAACTTGCTGATTGTACTGATGGTGAACACCTACACCCACTGCGACATGCCCGAACCGGCATCCTACGTGCATCCCTGCATGCATTCTCAGACTGTAAACTTCTCTTACTGACCTGAACACGGAGACGGACCGGCCCCGGCATAGCCATCCCACATCAGCTTGCCGAGCCCTCTCACCATGTATCACCATCCATATCCCTGCGGACCTCCAAAGTCTTGATGTAGTCGCCCTCCGTGTGCCAGATGAACTGAGTGAGGCTTTGTCCGGGAAAAGCATCACCAAAGATGTGATGACACTGTAATCTGGGGGCATCCTTCGAGACTGAACTTGAAACGTCACATGCATTCACATGCTTAACGAATGCCTGCACAAGAGTGAAAACTTGTGTGGCCTATGTGTGCCATGCAGATGGCAGATGAAGAGTATGCATGTCACAGCACCTCCCCCCCCCCCCCCCGGGTTCACAAATTTGCAAACAAAGCAAGCAGCATATGGCGCGATGACGATGAGAACCATGGCCACACAGATGGCAATACAAGGATGCACCGGGCCACCTTCCACAAGGTAGCTTCGAGCTCAGGGAAGAACACTCCCGTTGCTTCAGCAGGATGCTTCGGGCTGCAAGTGCCGGGTTTATTGGCCTGAATCATCATCGTCATCGCTGCGTTCGACCTCAGCTTCTCTTTCTCGCCGCTTCTCTGCGAGCGGCACGTGACGACACAGTCTCATCTAGTCTCGGAGGGCACCAAAACTCCCAAAAGTGCTTCACGACTCTGTGCGTCAGCAGCGCAAGGGTTCAAGTTGCAGATGCCAAATGCTAGCGCAAGGCACCTGGAAGTTCATGTGGATGCTGGATGTTCCGCAGTTGGCAAACTAAAACGATGGTGTTGGGAGCCAACGGCTCGGAAAAAGCAAGCACGCAGCCATGCCCAATCACGAAAGCCTGTCAGATGGCGGCTAGCGCACGTAGAATGAATGCAACATCATGCAACAGCAGGGGCTTCTCCTTGATGCCTTTGCTGAATACAGACAGCTGTGCACGACACAACGCGCCAGACCTTGAAGCGTTCATCAAGTGTGCCCAAGAAGCTTCCACTGAACTCCTGCCACAATCTCCCACATTGCCCAAGCTAAGCTCGAAGCTCGTCCAACTCGATCGCAAAGTCTGGAGGAGGAACGCCGCCCACATCCCAGGTAAGCCCTGACAAATCCAGGACTGGCACAGGCCCCCGTACGTCGCAGTACGCTATAACGCCACACAAGCACAAGCTCCTCACTGGACTGATCTTGATGCATGTGCGCCTGTGAATCTGCGAGCTTTCGCCTCGGTTGCCTCTGCCTCGGCATCCCCCATAATCGCAGAAACCCGCGAGGGGCGCTGTACAGCATCCTGCGGATTCCCAGCTTGCCAGGCGCAAGAAACTCTCCTTCAGCTTCCGGCTTCTAGAAGCTCTTGGTCGAAAACTTCATCGGGCTTCGCACTCGGCCTCGACGGCATCTGAAATCGTTTCGAATACGCGCGACCGTCGAGTGAAAGACTGCAGGCACGCAGTGCACGTTCGTTTTTCCTGGCCCGTGCTTTGCGGCAGGTCGGGAGGCAGCAAGCCATCGTTAGCCCTTGGTGTTCTGATACTCCGCACGCAGCTGCTCATAGCGCTGCAGATCCTGGCGCTAGCAGTTTCAACAGGTGACATGCTCAAGCATGGTGTCGGACGCCCATCCCCAACAGAGTTGCGGCTGAAAGCATTGAGGCAGGGCTCTTCCAAGGGCACGGATGGCTGCAGGTTCGAGAGGGCTTGCTGAAAGTGCCTCCCAAAGGAACAATCACGTGCTATTGAGAACCACGAAAACGAAACCATCTTTGCAACACATGCCCCAGCCTCAAGCCAACCTGGACTTGCAGGGGATATAATATGTTGAATCCGGACCTGGGCATCACCCGATACATCCACGCTACATCCATGCAAAAAAACGGAACTCCTGCAACTGAGTCGGCCACAGCCTCTTCAAGGTTGAAGGCTCACTGGAGCCGGGCGCGCGGCTGTGGGCAAGCCATCCTTAGGTCAGAGGAAGAATCCTGTGTCGAGGATCCCTCCACACATTCTCCTAGACGGCTCTGCCAAGTTTGCCCAGTCACTGCGAGACAAGTCCTCCAAGCCTTCAAGGCCTTCTTTGGCGCCGCAGGCAACGGCGCAAGAACCTCGGACATACCCGTGAGCTTCTGCAGGACACGCCGCAGCAAAACTGACCGTTAGAAGAGTCCAAGAGCCTCCAGCCCCGAGGCTGCCGGCGCAGTGTGCAAGCACAAAGGCTTCCTGGCAAAAAGCACGGGTGTCAGTGCGAGAAGTGCTCGTAGGGCTCGTTGCACCATTCGCCTGAGCCTCAGCGCCATAAAGCCGCAAGGCTGGCGCTCGCTGAGAGTCAGCGGCCTGCCAGGTGAGAGGCGGCCAAAGAAGTCTGTCTGCGCAAACATGTGCCTGACATGCAGCTTTAAAAATCCTCCCTGTCGCATGTTGCATGTGGTACATAGGGTCATAAGGCCCCCTCTCTGACTGCGGCCCCTGGATCAGAACCTGCTATACTTGTTGTGGTTACCCGTCCCTGAGTGCACAAGTCTTGCAGAAGTCCAACTTGCACAAGGGCATGCAGGCCTCCTCTGTAGCTGGAAACCTGATGTCAATTAAAGGCTGAAACTCCGCCACATACACACAGCCTGCTCAACCTCTTCCAGTGCCGAGGTGCAGTTGCACCAGTGGGGTCCCTTGCGAAGGGGTCAGCTGTCGCAAGGTCTCTGGGGTACGAGGGCCGCGCAAAGCACTTGCCAGGTGAAGTTCCAGCGCATCCAGAAAGAGCAGGAAGGTGCTGATCGGAGTCTGTAGCAAGTCAGCGGCTTCATGCAGCTTGGCGATATGCTCCCGCTGCGCAATGCCGTAAGCATCTGCGCACAAGACTGACACGTCCGCCCCAGTGAGGTTTGGCGGACATGCCTCAGCAACGGCAGCAAGTGGAGTCGACCCGCGTTTCGCATCCCCGTTTGCCGGCGTGGCCTCTTCCAATACGAACTTTCGCGTAATGGCAGAGAGCAGAGGTAGCTTATCGGCTGCGATGCCAAGATACACCATCCGGTCCAAGCGGCCCGGCCGCAACAATGAGCGATCCAGCAGATCAGGTCGATTTGTGGCCCCGACCATGAACACAGTGGATGGCATAGTGTCGAGTTCTGTCACCAGTTGCGACACCACGCGGTCCATAACGCCACCGGAATCATTGCCTCGACCTCGAGCAGGAGCCAGAGAGTCGAGCTCATCGAAGAAGAGAACGCAGGGAGCCAAGTCTCTGGCACTTTGAAACAAGGACCTGACATTCTTCTCGCTTTCGCCAATGTACATGGAGAGCAACTCTGGCCCCTTCACACTCAAGAAATGGACCTTGCACTCAGTCGCAACCGCTTTTGCCAGCAGCGTTTTGCCAGTGCCTGGAGGCCCAAAGAGCAGGACGCCACTTCGAACTTTCTGGCCTTCGAACAACTGCCCTTGCGAGAGTGGAAGCGTGATGCAGTTCATTATTTCTTCCTTGGCATCTTGCAAACCACCCACGTCGGCCCACTGTATCTTGGAAGCCAAGGTCACTGCCACCTTTGAGCCACCCTGCAATCGCTTCACGGCCTGCTCAATAGTTTGCTGGACCTCAGCACTGGCCGCAGCTTCCAAGTTACAGACAGAGTGCATCGCCATCTCCGCACACACCGAGCGCAAGTCGCTATAAGACAATCCGGCTGTAAGCTTTGTCATTACTGCGATGACAGATGGCTCGTCTTTCTTCTCCAGGGCATCAGCTGAATGGGACTTCCCATTCGGGATGACGGTGTCCGGTGCGTCCGGTGTAGCATCCGCTCGCTTCATCAACGCGCGAATCGCAAACTTGCGTGCGGCTTCGGTTGGCCTGGACACAGCCAACTCCTGACCGAAGATCTGTCGGATGGGCCCACCCAAATCATCTAAACTCTCACAGGACCCGGCAAGCAGTACCAGCGGGCTGCGCTCTCCCGTCGAGTTTGATCGAGCCTTCTGCAGGGTCGTCTGGAGGAAATCTTCAATGCGGCGCTGCTGCAGCAAGGTAGCGGCTGGAGACATGGCGGGCCCTGAGCTTGAAAGGGCATGCAACCTGCGCAGGCACAGAATGCAGGGTGATAGACCCGCCGCCTGGTCGAAGGCCTCCAGAAGTTTGGCCTCTAGGGCCCCGAGGCCCTCCGCAGCAAGAGCTGTGCAGCTGATCTCGAGCAGATGCAGCCCAAGACGCTCTGAAACACTGTGCCACAGAACGCGCTTGCCACATCCACGGGGTCCAGAGACCAGAACCGATGGCAAACTCTCGGCGGTGCCAAGTTCCCACGCCCGCACGCCTGGAACCAGCATCCCCAGTAATCGTTCAGTGGGTCCTTGCAATGACGGCAAGGGCTTGGGCGGAGCCTGACAAAATAGGTGGCAGCTGCAATACGGCAGGCCACGAGCCTGGCTTCGCCCTTTCAGCGAGATCTCAGTGGACTTGTTATCTACTTGGAAAGTGGAACTCTGAGCTCCCTGGCCGCCCTGGCCTTCGATCACCTCCACCTTAAAGCTCAGAAGGCGACAAAACGCCGTGCCATGCAGCGGGTCTATCACGAAGCTCCGTGGTCGACCAGCACAAGCTGCCATCTCATAGACGCTGTCGTCTTCATCGCTGCGAGGTGCACGCTGCGGCTTGGGCCTCTTGGTAGGATCGGCCGGAACTTCCACCTCGCAGAGGGCCGTCGGCAGGCCATGAAGGGGGACACTGAAGACCTCGCCTCGCCTCAGCACACGCGGCACATGAAAGAACGTTCGTAGCGCCGCTTCGCTGCGAAATCGCATCATGGCAGTCTCCTGGCCCAGGAAGGGCACGGAGGAAAGGACCAGCCGGGAACACCCCAAAGGCTCCAAGCCTTCTCGAAATGCGACGGAAACTTCTGTACGACCTGGTGTGGCACCTAACAGCTCAAGGATTTGGACTGGCAAGTGAATCAAAGGCAAATCTCTGCGTTTCCGCCACGGCGGGGGTGGACAAAGCACAACCTCCGACGAATCCACCAGGCGAAGCCAACAGGGATCGTTGGAAGCAAACGAGTTCGTCCGCGGCGGCACCACCAACACCCAGTTGCCAAGTCGTGCACCAAGTTCAGACAAGAGCTCCTGAATGGGAACCAGCAGCAACTACAGAAGCAACCTTAACAAATGGCCGAGTCAACCAGCCCCAAGCACTCATGGATTGCGTCTTTCGGTGGAGCAAGAGTCCTCTGAGGCGCAGGCCTGGCACAGATTTGAAACATCAAAACTTGCGGGCTTACAAGGTTCAGGACGACGCCAATAATTGGCCAGCGACGCATGCCCAACCCACGATCTTTGTCCATCACACCACCCACTGGCCCACGAGCAACCGGAAGCAAAACAAAACACAACCAAACAAAAACAATGCAACGCACGAAGTTCAGCAGTGCAAACCTGCCCCGAGAAGTTGAAGATCAAACCACCCCGCCGTGACAACGCTGGTGCTCGAAGAACAAAAACGTTCGGTCGCTCTATGCAAAAGCAAGCACACCCTGCCTCATGAAAAGTGTCGCGCTCATTGTTGTCTTGACGTCCGGCCGCCGAAGCGCTGCTCAACGGATGAAGCAGCCGTCCCACCACAGCCGCTGCATACCTGTAGGCGCCCGCATATTGGTGTGAAGATGTGGAACAAATATGGCAAACACGACCGTGTGCTGCAGGCAAGTAGCTTATGTTCGTGAAAAGATGTCCCTTCAAGCATCAGGGCGGCCGACGAAAACCATTTCACCGGACATGTGGCACAAAGATCTAATTGTCACGTCGTGTCAGAATGGGTATGTCTTTGTGGTAGCCGTTCATGTGCATGACGTATCGAGTTACAGCTGCTGAAAAGTCTGAAGCCAGCACATCAAATTCAGCAACGCATGCGCCGCACCATCATGTGGGTCTAGCTCTTTCGGCGCCCGAAGGGTGCAAGACGGCTTATGCTGAAAGTCAGGACCCTGCGAGAATATGCCGATGAGGCCAGCCGATCCTGCAGCGCCCAACACCTCAATTTACATCCAAAAATTAAGACTCTCAAACTCTCTCTTGCTCACAAGTGCTGGTCCCACAGTGCGGCGATTGCTGGGCCAGACACTTCTTTGGACTGGTAATGCCTCCAAGCGGAACCTGGGATATTGCCATCACTTTGCGTCCATTTCCGAATGCTTGGCTCATCGTGGCTCTGTGTAAGTAGCAAACCACCAGCCGGAGCAATTGGTTTCGGTGCAGTGGTCCTTGGAGATTTCAGGACCAAAAAAACTGCACAAACCCCTAGCATCCTGCAATTCAAAACACACTTGCAACAACCGCACAGTGGCACTGACTTTCATGAAGATTGCTTGGGATCGCTGAGGCTGCCACTTGCTCATGGTGTCCTTGCTGATGCCGCCGGCCGCAAGGGGTCGGACAGCCAAGCGTCCCGTCAACTACACATATCACATACCATTTCCGTTCCGCTCCCTCGTCTGGCCAAAAACACGAGCGGGCAAATAGTTACATGCGGGCGCTCATATGATGTCAAACATGGCACATGTAGATGCAAAGCTGCACCCCACACGCAGCACCATCTTCGGACAACGTTTATAGCTGATGCGTGGCTCTGACGGCAGGTTCGTCCTCACCAACCAATGACAAAACCACATATGCTAAAACGACTCTAAAAAATAAGTCTACGCGTCGCACACTCGGAATTTTGCGACCGCGTGTTCCTGCCCTCTTTGCCTCCCCCCAGCGCATCCCTTCCCGCCTTTTTGCGTTCGTAGGCCGGGCTCCATACCGGCGCCTGGCTTCGTGCTGAGAAAACGCATTCGCCTGCCACTGCCGCTGCCCGCGCGCTGTTGCGTCGGGACGGTGGGGAGTCCATCCCGGGGTGTGGCACCTTGTTGATGAGCAGGAGGACCACACCTTGGCACGCCCTCGAGAGGGCTTTTGGTCAATTTTGAGCGAAAGGAAAGTGCTGCATCCGGCGGCGCTGGACCTGAACAGGCCCCAAACCCCGGAAAAACCTTGCGGCCCCCAACCACCACCGCAGGACTCGCCAACTAGCGGGATAAATTACAAACAGCCATGTTGTCGGTTGCAGGTTGTTGCGCCACACTGCAGCGTTGGGAACGCAAGCTGCGGCTGCTGGGCTTTCACCAGGTCGAAAAGCCTGGTTTGCTTCCGCCCGGTCCCGCTTAGCGCTTGCGAGGTTGGCGCGCCCGCCGGGTGGGTACCCATTTTGGGAGTTCATGGCGCAGCTGCGTGTGTCCTGAGCAGATCCAGGGAACGGCGCGCTTCGTGTTTGGATGTGGTGACAAGAAGGACATCAGGATCATCAGCAAACCGAAAGTCCAGAAGTCGTGGCAAGCCATCTGCCAAATCAAAACCTGCCAACCCAACCAAGTCCTGCCCAAGGTGGGCATGCAACGACACAGGAGGTACCTCGGGGGATAGGACGCAAGGTTCTCGTGGCGGCAAACCCCCACGACGATCTCACAATTGGGCAAACGGCGCCGTCCGCATGCCGAATGGCCGAGTGCGAGCACTTGTCGTCGGTGATGAGTTTTGTTTTTTTTACAGCTCCATAGGCTGATGAGTTTCAGTATGCATGCGAGAGAGCGCGCGCATTTTGTGGAAGACTATGGCGGGGCCCTCCAAGCACATATATGCCTTTACAATTGGGCCTCGGAACCCATGCCGGCACTGAAGCGTTGTTCAAGCTTCTCCAAATCGACGCCGAGGCGTTTGGCGACGTCAGGCCATCAACGTTGGCCGTGCCTGCAATGGGGAGGGAAAGGAGGCTGGCGGCGAATGCCCGGGCTGCGGCGAAGGAGAGGAGCGCAAACGAGCGGGCTACCGGTGCTGGCGTGGAGTACCACGAGTTCCTCGCTCCACCGTCCGCGGGCGCAAGGACCACGAGCCGGCAGCGTGGGGCCTCCCCCCAGCGCATTCCTTCCCGCCCTTTTGCGTTCGTAGGCCGGGCTCCAGCTTCGTGCTGAGAAAACGCATTCGCCCGCCACTGACGCTGCCCGCGCGCTGTTGCGTCGGGACGGTGGGGAGTCCATCCCGGGGGGTGGCACCTTGTTGATGAGCAGGAGGACCACGCCTTGGCACGCCCTCGAGAGGGCTTGTTTGGTTAATTTTGGGCGAAAAGAAAGTCCTGCATCCGGCGGCGCTGGACCTGAACAGGCCCCAAACCCCGGAAAAACCTTGCGGCCCCCAACCACCACCGCAGGACTCGCCAACTAGCGGGATAAATTACAAACAGCCATGTTGTCGGTTGCAGGTTGTTGCGCCACACTGCAGCGTTGGGAACGCAAACTGCGGCTGCTGGGCTTTCACCAGGTCGAAAAGCCTGGTTTGCTTCCGCCCGGTCCCGCTTAGCGCTTGCGAGGTTGGCGCGCCCGCCGGGTGGGTACCCATTTTGGGAGTTCATGGCGCAGCTGCGTGTGTCCTGAGCAGATCCAGGGAACGGCGCGCTTCGTGTTTGGATGTGGTGACAAGAAGGACATTAGGATCATCAGCAAACCGAAAGTCCAGAAGTCGTGGCAAGCCATCTCCCAAATCAAAACCTGCCAACCCAACCAAGTCCTGCCCAAGGTGGGCATGCAACGACACAGGAGGTACTTCGGGGGATAGGACGCAAGGTTCTTGTGGCGGCACCCCCCCACGATGATCTCACAATTGGGCAAACGGCGCCGTCCGCATGCCGAATGGCCGAGTGCGAGCACTTGTCGATTTTGCTGTTTTTTCCAGCTCCTTTTGGGATGAGTTTCAGTATGCGGAAGACTATGGCGGGGCCCTCCAAGCAGATATGTGCCTTTACAATTGGGCCTCGGAACCCATGCCGGCACTGAAGCGTTGTTCAAGCTTCTCCAAATCGACGCCGAGGCGTTTGGCGACGTCAGGCCATCAACGTTGGCTGTGCCTGCAATGGGGAGGGAAAGGAGGCTGGCGGCGAATGCCCGGGCTGCGGCGAAGGAGAGGAGAGCGCAAACGAGCGGGCTACCGGTGCTGGCGCGGAGCACCACGAGTGCCTCGCTCCACCGTCCGCGGGTGCAAGGACGACGAGCCGGCAGCGTGGGGCGAGGAGCTCTGGGTAGGTCCGCTCCTTTGCTCCGCGGGCGGTGCGGAGGGTTCCCCTTTTGTGTGTCGCTGATGGCGGCGTGGCTGGCCCGCCGAATCCGGAGACGAGACGAAAGTAGTGTTGACTGCAAGCTGGACACCGCCCCACGCAGGCAGATGTGCGACGGTCGACAAGGCGTGCGACTTGGACAATGAAGTCGCGCAGCACAATGGTGGCGACGGTTGCATCAGCCTCGCGACAGACGCGAGCGGCAGCCCGTTCAAAAGGTGCGCCCCGTGCACGCAAGTGGCCTGATCGGGGGGCAGCGCGGTGGGTCCTGTAAACGTCGAGCCGTCGCCGGCAGTGACATGTGGCGGAGTCGGGGGGGAGGGGGAGGTGCAAGCGCCGAAACAACATGACTCCGAAGGCTGCGGAGCTCAGGGGGCCGTGGGCGACGCCGCAAAAACGCATGACCAGCTTGGGACGGAAGCAGGGTCGCAACCTCCTGCGTATCACGCACGCAAGGGCAACCTGGAGGCCCTGGAGCTCGTCTTCGGTAGGCTGCCGGCGCGCGCCAGCAACAGCCAACAGCCCAGGAGCGTCGACCAACCAGAGCAGCATGAGTCCTGAAACAACCGTCTTGTGGTCAGAGTTTTTTCCGCAAATGCGGCAATCTCATGCGTATCACGCACGCGAGGGCAGCCAATGGACAACCGGCAGCGGGCGGTCATGCCAGGCACCCGGAGCGTGTAGGCAAACATGGCGGCGGCTCGTGAAGGGGGCGGTTCTGACCCGCCTTGCACCTTGCGAGCAGGCGGCCTCAGTGCTCCAGCGCCCACCAATCTCGAGCTCGACGACGGTCAGCCGGCAGCGGCTGGACCCGCACAATTCAGGGTATGTGCACCCCTTGGCACGTCGGGCGGTCACAAGCGCAGCGCCAGCTGTTCCACCGGCAACCCGCGAGCCCGGCAGCAGGAGAAACGAGGGCGGCCGTTGGCAATGACTTCAATGTGCCTGTCATCTTGCCGGAGCACGCTCGAGAGGGCCGCCCCACGCACGAAGAACAAGATGGTCGCCGTAAAGATCATGGGCGCGGAACCGGCATCTGACAGAGGTCAGTGGCAACCGCAGGCGAAGTCTGCGGAGCAATATGGCCCGGAACCCGCGAGTGAGGTCAAGGGAAGAGTCTTCCTGGAGGAGGGCTGGCACGTGAGCATGCAGCAACTCCGCCCAGAGGGCTCAATGGCGCGAGTTTCGGGCATCTCGCGCTGACTGCAGGGCCAACGGGAGCGGCTGGTCAGAGGCGAGGGTCACGCCTGTCGAGGCCGTCGCCGACCACTGTGGCATCGGGTCCAATTTAGGCAAAAACACGAGTGATGGGCATCGCGGAGCTTGGCGACGAAGTCTGGCGAGGTGACCTACACTCCGATCAGCGCGGCATCGTGGTTCAGGGCACCGAGGTCTGGCGAGGTGACCTACACTCCGATCAGCGCGGCATCGTCGTTCAGGGCACCCCAGTCGGGCATTCAGATTTCATCCCGCCGCCTCGAGGACGAGGAGCAGCCACCCCGCCAGCCGCCAAAGCTTCATGGCTGCTCCTGCTGCTTTGTGCTTCCCCCAAATGCCAACCAGGCCCTTCGCACGGTGCCGCCGCAGGGCATCCTCGCCTACGCCCGCGCTTATGATCGAGCCGTGTGGCATACCTTAAAACAATGCCAGCCCACTTCGGCGGCCTGGGACTGCAATCGGCGGAGCGCACGAACCCTGCAGTGTACTGGGCAGGCATGGCAGATGCTTTGCCGGTGATCCACACCCGGCTGAAGTGCTGACATTGCTCCTAGCCTGCGCGGGCCACATTGGCAATTTCATGCGCCGCGCACTCGCAACAAACATTTCCGCGACGCTACGCCGCCGGATGCCCGGGCACTTGTGCGGTCCCAGCGGGGCGTCATGCAGGGTCCTCGCTCACCGCCATGCCAGCCGAGCCGTGCCATTCCCCGTCCTTTTCTTTCTTTCTGCCGGATTGCTTCGCGACAAACATATCTGTGGTGGCGTCGTTGCGTAACATGGCACCCGATTGATGTTTATGAAGAAGACCAATGGATCGAGAAGATGATGAGCCCTTTGAAGTGTTTGACATGTCATATGATGATGCCTTGCCAAGGCAGTGCGAACACTACATGTCCGTGCCCCTAATTACGGCCAACAGGCTGCTACGGCCATTGTGGCAGCCGACTCTCCCCGGCGCATCCGGCAAGGTTAGGCACCCCGCTTGCGGCTGGGCCGGCTACGCGTGACCCGGGGCCGTGCCCGCAACAGTCT